CAATTACGTGAAACTCGAAACTTTATATTTAATTTTAAATATGTTTTTAAAGCAAAGGTATATGCAAATAATTTATATTAAATCCATTGTACGTTCCAAATCGATACTTATATGGGCTGTGCCGACAATTACAGAGTTTCTTACAGGATGCCGAAGGTTCTACTCCTAAAACATAAAGAGATAGATTAACAAAAGTGTAAAAAGACCGAAAGTCAGTCTGTTTGCAAGGCTAGGCACTCTGTAAGAAACTCTGTTGACGAGTTATACGAATGTTAATATAATGTAGCAGGGAGTACCTAGCCTATCACAAACAGACTATTAATATACTTGAGAAATAATTTTAAGAAGTTTTTTTAATTTTGTTACAACGAAAGAAATATAGTATAAATGAGAATTTATATAAAAAATCTTTGTAGAAAAAATCTTCTGTTTTGAGTGCAGTAATGACATCCACTTATTTCATATTTATGAAACTAATGAACAACTAATTTATTTTAATAGAAATAATAGATATATATGTACAAATGCCGATGTATTTTAGTATTACTTAAATAAAATTTTAAGAAATACTCTAAGATGTACCACTAGCGCATATGATCACTATGATATAGTTTAATAGTAAATAAAAATATGATTAAAATATGTTTAAATATTTTTGTTTTTAAAAAATAGAAATTTAAGACAGAAATGCTTTCCAATTCGGTGCGCATAATAGCTGAGTAATTAATTACTGTAAAGTTCAAATAAGGATTTACACGATAATACATGATTTTTACGCGAAATCATGGCACTACGTTGGGCGAATAATCGGATTGCACCGTCGGGGAGACGCATCATGAAGAGATCGCCTCGAAAAGCGACAATGTCGTCCGCGACGACGACGCGACTCCCTGCTACGATCGTGGACCACAAAAGGATCAACGATTCTGAAAAAGCAATCCGCGTCTTCCTCGGACGAGCTGTGTCCATTGCAAATTTTATTCAAGCCATTCGTAGGCTCGCCGAAGGCTTCCAAAGCCGTGCAATCCATCAGCCAACCGTAGAGAGACCTCCGAATTGGAACATGATGCTCTTTAACGTGGCGAATTATGCCACCTCGAACTTTTCTATTAATTTCGCGCCGACATTGCTCGCAAATAAAAGCCTTTTTCTTATCGGAAGAAACTCGACACCAGTCGTTACCGTTAAATTTTCTTGGCGGATAATTCGTGCTTTTCGCGGGAGAAATGTGCTGATACCGCGAGAATCCTGATCTCTCACGTGAATGCGAATTGACAAGATGAAACGTTGGCACAGATGCTTCTAATAATGCTCGTCTCGAATCGCAAGAACGAGCGCGGGACGGTTTGTTGTCGATGATATCCGATCGAGGTGTACGCAAGTATTTTCTCATGACGTACCGATTGCTGTCGCTCTTGTTCTTCTCTCGCAAGCTCACCTCGAGCTGAGCGATGCGATGCTCGAGCCGCGTGCGTTGCGCCTGTGCCCGATCCTGCTGATCTTCCAGCATTTTCACCAATTTCTCCAAACGCATCACCTGCATTTGCTTGTTTTCCAGTGTGGTGTATAGTTCCTGGATTGCTTCTGTCTTCGCCACGATCTGCTTATTGATCTATGTACAACACGGGATTATCGGTTTAATACAGCTCTTGTGTACAGGTGTCAATATGTAGAACACGATATATGCCAGGATTAAAGGAAGTTATCTGAAAAGATTCGAAAGGAGATGACAGAATGACGAATGTCACGTTACTTCGTCAATATCTTCGTAGTTTGCGGAATTATCCGCGTTCGCCTGCTGTTTTCCCTTGAAAAGGTTCAGCAGCTCGTCTCTAGCTTTAAGGAACTTGCTCTGTTCCCGCATCACCCGGTCGCGCTGCTCTAGTTCTAATTGCTTCTGGGTCAACGTGGTTTCCAGTGACTGGTTTTGTTGCATCGTTTCGGCCAGGCTGTTCCGCAGATCGCTGATTTGCTGTTGAAGCTCGATCGTGTCGGGAGCTGTCTTGCTATTTTCTTTCGACTTCGCGTGAAGGTGACGCTGAATTTCGGACAACCGATTCTCTAGCATTTCATTTTTCTCTTGCCTAATTGTGAAGTTGAGAATATACATGCCACATCATGCCAAAGAAAAGAGATTAAAATTGAGCATATCATTGATTTAAACATGTGAATCATCACTCGATATTCGTCATTTTGTGCAAAACAGAAAGAATTAATTATTTCAATTATTAATATGCAATGTAAAAATATTTTATATAAAATTATGTACTCGAAATGAAGGTATTAACTACGCGCTATGTGTTTAGGAATATTTTTATCGTGTTTGCAATTAAAAATTGCAAATTAATAGGATAATATTCTATCGCAATGTGGAATCAGGAGAAATCTCGCTAAAACTTACGTGAATCTAGCAACCTTCTGGAGTTGGGCGTGCTCCAACATCAGGTTCTGGAGATTATTAGTCTTAGCTACGAGTTCGGCCGCCAGCTTATCCTTGGTCTCGTCTTCGTTATCGCGACTCTGCGAGCCAACGAAAAAAAAGAACAAATAGTCGAAACTAATTACGTAGTGGAGACAGAAAATCACGGTCTAACGAGAGAAGGAAAGCGAATCGAATGGCATTTTTAGTTCTTATACGAGCAGAGATTCCGAAAGTAGTGCAAACTAACAGCCGCCTGATGCATCACAGCGACAATCTCTTGTTTCTCCTGCTCGAGTTGTTCGATCTTCTGCTTGTGCTTTTCCAGCTCGGCTCGGGTCGCTTTCAAATCGTTATACAGGCAAATCTCGTTCTCCGTATGATTGTCGTCTAAAGACAAACGAGAGCTTTCGACGAGCAAATACTCGATGCTTTGTGTCGATAATTATATATATACATTCTTTAAGATGCAAAACGTGAAAGCTGAAAGCATCTTGATATTTCGAAATTGTTTAGCTTACCTACCTGTCACAGCTAGATTATTACTCTTCTCGTTCGCGAGATCGCAGAGTAGCTGACTTTTTTCTTCCAGGTGTTTGCAGCGTTCTTCCATCTCGGTGAAAGCGCTTTCGACTTGTTGTCTACAAAATTAATGACGAAATTAATTGGAAGTAGTCTTGATAAAACCTTTTAGTAAAACTCATATATTAATTACAATTTTTTTCAGGATAAATTATTGAGATGAAAACTAATGCATGTAAAACTAATAGCGAATGATAAAAGCGTAGCTATATAATTTACCTTTTCTCTCTCTCTTCGTTTATCTCCACGTTGATCGTTTCAAACTTTTCCGATAGCTTTTTAATAGTAGCATTTGCTTCGGCTTCTTTACGAGCCATCTTTTCTTTAAGATCCACTATCCTAAAGCAGGTAACGTCAAGAAAATACAGAATAAAAGGATCAATCTTGCCTTTGTTCTGATAAACTCATCCAGCCAAGGATATAAGCGGCACTTTTTGACAGAATTATTTATATTAACTATATTCAATAATTATTATCTAATTGCAATTGGAATATATCATTTCGTTAAAGCTCTTCTCAATTAATTATTTACCTTAATTTAAAATAATATACAAGTTTAAAGAAAATAAAATATTTTAACTAAAATAATCATAATAAACGCATTTAATATTAGTTATATTTTTAGATAAAAATTTAAAAAAATCAAGAATTTGGTGGAATAAAAGAACAACCGTGACTCGAAGCTGTCGCGCTGCTTTTCTATCTTCGCCAAGAGTCCCTCGCTGCTCTTCATCGCCTTGTGCATATCCTTCATTCTCTGCTCCATCATCTGATCTTTTTGCTTGAGCTGAGCTTGCAAGGACTTCACGGAGTTCTGCAATTGTAGCGACGACGCCTCGGCGTTAGTCGCGAATAACTCCATGTCTCGAATCTTCATCTGCGCCTTTTGCATCTGCCGCTCCAGTATTCTCGTCCCTTCCTTCCACTGATTCGCCTTGTTACGCTCCATCTTAAGTTCCCCCAGAGCCACGCTCAACTGCTCCTGCAGGTCCTTACGATCGACATTCGGCTGTTCCTCCTTTACGCGCTCGTGATAATTGTCATATTCGTCGCGCAGACTCGAGGATCTCTTCGTGAATTCGGCGACAAAGTCCTTTTGCGCCGTCCTCAGCTCATCCAGCTGCGTTCTCAGCTCCTCGTTGTTTTGTCCGAAAGTCGCCAGCTGCGCCTCCGCCTTCGTGAAGTCCATCGGAATCAAGATATTCTCGTTCTGCTGGTTAAATTCTGTCAGCCAGGACTTGACGAGGGACGCAAACGACGAGCTCTTGTCCAGGACACGCTGAGAGAGGTCCTGAGAGCGATCGCAGAGATCCTGCAGCTGATTCTGCAGCAGCGACACGCCGATTACCGCCGACTCGTCCATGCAGATCCGTTTACGTTGCTCGTCGGGGCAATCGTGTTGCAAACTCGTCTTGATCGATTCCGCCGGGCTTTGTTTGGGACATTCCACTTGAGCTGTTTTCAGCTCCTCGATCTTGCCGGGATCCTTGCCGCCGACCGCGATTATCTTCTCCCGCAGACTTGACATTTCGTCACACAGCTCTTGTGCGATTTTCTGGAGACGCGGAATAGAGAAAAATTCTATTTTATTCCCTCTACTGTCTTTTCTTCAGAGATAATATACTAAAAAAGTTCCCAAAAATTTCTGAGCTAATGTAAAAAAATTCAGATTTCCTTTCTTCATGTGAAAAAAACTCGCCTTAGAAAAATTAATATCACTCGACAGTTACTTGCTTATCGGCGAGCGCCTTCTTTAGATTCGCGTATCGGGTCTTTTTCGAGCTGTATTGAACTTCCAGCTGACGTTTTTCCGCAGAGACTGTATTCATCGACTTTCTAAACGGTGACATGTTCAGAGTCTTTAGAATTGGTCGACGAGCTGAGTTATTATTGGAGCTAATTCCACTGGAAGACTCCTCGCACGTTGGATGATTCGTCGAATCGCCCTGTGAAAAACGAACTTTTTTACAGTTAAACGTAAAAAAGACGCTTTCTTTACAAAGACACATCTTTACAATTTACTGTAGCAACTTATTTTATTTTTATTAATTTTAAGAGGGATAACATTTGTAGTAATACTTATTATTCAAAATTATGCTAAATTATCAAATATTAAAAATATTGTAAATTATTATAAATAATTATTATCAATTAATTCAGTATTTATAGTGATTAATTAATTAATTAATTATTAATTAATTAATCACTATAAATACTCAAAATTAATTAATTCATTATTAATTAATAATAATTAATGATGAATTGCCTTTTATATGCTATCAATTAAATAAAGCGCCGAATATTATATATATAAGTTTCTTATTATATCATATATATATAATATATAAATCAATATTATATATATATAAATGTTTAGCAATTATTTGCCATTGCATTCTGATATTAACATACTTGTGCATTTCGTCCGGGTCGAGTTATTGGAATTTTACTCTTACAGATTTTATTTCCGGGATTCGACATCGCGGATTTTTTTGAACTAGTGGATGGTGAGCGGTCTTCCGCTTTTTCTATACAAAATAAAAATATTAAACTATTACTTGTAAAATTAAAATGTTATAAGAATAGAATTATTTAACTGCATTATACATTTTTTTGTCTCTTTTCTTTCTTTGAAAAAAGTGCACTTTTTTTCTTTTTAAATATTTCTATTTAAAAAGTGTAAAAAAATGTACATACATAAAGAATATGTAAAGCTATGAATTAAGCTGTGACAGTTAGTTTTATTTGTCTGATATAACCTCAATTTAATTATATTTCCAATTTCAAAGCACTATAAAAAATAAAATTGTTAACACATATTTAATTTCAACTTATATTTCGACTGCTATTAAAATTATTTTAGTTATTGTCTCAAAAAATAGCGGCAAATTTATGAAACTAAAAAATCTACAAAACAAAATGTAATATAAATTAAACAATATCAAATATTTTTAATAACATTTACAAAAAGCTATCAGAGAAAAAAATGATCTTTGAATATAAGCTAACGCTGCTGTTGACGTTTCGAGATTAAACAACACAATGTTTTTATTTTACATCATTTGTGAAAATGCAATGATAAAAATATAAAAGCCGCGGTTTACGAGTTTCTATATGGAAAATTTTGATATAACACAACCTGTAGAATTTATCGTGACCGCTTCGTTCAGCATTGTTTTACTTTTTCACAGTAATGTGACGCGATCGATGACAGCTGGATTTGCGAACAAATCTGTGAGATTTTCTAGTGGGCGAGAAAAGTTTCAATTTCGTAGTCTTGTTGGCTGGACAGCGAAACGACCGAGCGCTATCTCGCGCGAGACAAGCGACGACTTCGAGCTGTTTCGAAATCGCGATCAATTTTACATTCAACACGCAGATAACATTTTTCATGTGATAACATTTTTTCGGAGATAAAATATGACTGTTATAAAATTAATTAAAAAATTCTCTTTTTATTCAATATAACATTTTTTTAAATATGTATTATACATCTATTTCAATTTCAGCATTTAAAATTTATACATATAATATTCTGGAATTTACTCTTATATTGTTTTAATTTAGTATATAAAATATGCGAAATTCTTCTAAACTCTCTCAATAATTTTTCATAAAAGTAACTGTCAATAAATAATTTTCAACGAGAATTAAATATAAGATAATTGACAGAAATATATATAATTTTATGTGAATATTATTTTAAAAAATAATGTAATGCAAAACAATTAAATCATTTAAATTTTTTTTATGTAGGAATTTAAAAGTCATATAAATGCTACGAAATAAAAGACGGGTTCTCTCTAAATTCGTTGGTTGGTGAAGCTCGCATAACTTTTTCCAGGAGGTAAGTTAATATTTTCAACGACGCAAAATATATCATAGTATAAACAACGTTGCCAACGAAGAAACCGTGCTTTTCCACGATACACGTGCGCTTTCATTAAGCATTTGTCAGAGCTTCTCGGAAAACGCAGGCTTATAAAACCAGCTGGATTATGATGGACAAGCGGCGCCGCTTTAATTACCAAAAACCGCGCGAAGAATTTTGTCCCGCTTGAACAAATAAAGCAATTCAGTAGTGAGCAAGGTCAAGTTAATTAACTACTTTAATTCGGCCTTTTCATTTACATTCGGCAACAGTGTGGGCCAACTGTTGGTGCACTTTCTACAAATATCACAAGCTTACAATTCGTTTCGTAATATGATGCAATTAATCTTAATGCAAAAGTCCAAACAAAAAGCGGTTTCGAATAATGAACAGCGACTTATAGATTTCAAAAGTAGCAAATAAATTTATATTACGAGATACTTTATAATCATCTCTATAATTTTCTCATAAATAAAAACAATGTCTGAAATTGGAAATTTTTTACTTGTGGCTATAATCGTTGCGACCATTACAATGTTAATTTACGTCATTACAGCGAATAAGCGCAACATACGTCACGCGAGCAGTCATGTGATGAGTGTTTTTCTTCACGTGTTATAAGACTTATCTATGTTATTTATTTATAAATTCTCGCAGTTCATACGTTGTATGAAAAAGATAAATTATATATTGCTAAATATTTCTGAAATAATATATATTTCTAAGAATTACTTTTTCACCAAACAACTTTTTATTTAATTAAAAATCCTTCTTTTAGGAAGAATCCTTCCTTTAGGAAGAATCCTTCCTTTAGGAAAAATCCTTCCTCTAGGAATTCATTAATTTTGTAAGTCATCGTAAATCATGTGCTAGCCAAACCCCGGCGCTTGAGCATCCTTAATGGCGCGATCCCATAGTGCGGAACATGCGTAATGCGGAATTGGCGGAACGCTCGTGAATAGTTCAACCTGTTTTACGTTCGTTTCGCCGATTTCTATCCACAAGTTTTTAATTTATCCGCACTGATTGTACGGAATTATTTATGAGCTTACGTGTGCGCGCAAGAATCTGTATGTGTGTTAGGAAGACAAAAACTTTGCAATCTCGCGGCGTAGTTGCTGCTTTTTAAATACACACGCACTTTATTTTAATGAATTTAATAACCGCAAATAATGACGAACAAGTTTTCCGAATCCATGTTTTATGTGTAAAAAGTAATGTTAACAATTGCTTTTTTATGATGGTATTTAACGTGCCATCAAGTAATTGTTTTTTTCGGTTTGTGAGAGTTTCGCCGGTTATGTGTGCAATTCTGTAATTTTAACGGATGTATGCATGTATATGTGATTTCGATTCGCAGATCCTGAGTTTGTATTTCTACTGTCCCATGCTGCGGAGAATGCGGAAGCGTAATCTGTGCGAACTAATAATATGCACTGTTGCGATAGATACAACAGAAGGATCTATGGGAAAGATCTTGTGATTGGCAGGCGCCAATTACGCTTTTGCGAGTTCCGCTTCATGGGACAGTAGAAAATACATTTCTGCGGAGCGCAGTTGACAGAATGTTTGTGATTGAACGGAGAACTTCGTTCCGCCAATTCCGCGTTGCGCATTCCGCACCATGGGATCGTGCCATAAAACACTCGCATCGTCGCGGGAGAAACCCTTTCAGATCGCGCGCTGCGCAAGTCCGCTCCAAGTGGTAACGGCCGCTGATATTAGCTCCGAGAGTCAGGCGGCTGTCAGTCAGCCGGAGGTCCGCGGCAGTGTCAGACGTGTTATGGGTATACTCTCCTATCACATCGTAGAACGCACGTGACTCGCGAGGAACGGAAGAGTAAAAGTATCGCACACGCCGAGTTGCGCGAGCAACGTCGTGGTGAGTACTTTCTTATTTAGATAACCTCGATTTTTCATCGAGCAATTTCGCTTAAAAAAATATAATCTGTTATTTTTAAAAATGTCGCACGAGAAAAGATGTAGAGTAGTTCTTGCACGGATATACTTGGCACCAAGTGCAGCTACGTTCTTAATGAATGACACGCCAGGCATATTTTGAGCCACCCTTTGTGCATTTTCTGATGTAATTGCATGTCGCGTATCAAACCATCGCTGGAAGAGTTGCCTTTGTCAAAAGAGAGAACCTCCGTCCTTTGACAACGGCGAAATAAACGCTGGTTCAGTTGCCTGTAGCTTTTATCGATGCTTTGAGCGAATAAAACTTGAATAACGGTTTACATACATGCAGTAAAAGAGAGGCGTCAAAAACTATAGTAATATGTACATATGTTTGTACAATACAACACCAAGATTAACTATTAAAAAGAAAAAAAATCAAGAAACACAAGATTCAAAAATAAAAAATGTGTAAAATATATCAAAATCTTTGATAACTGAAAGTAAAAGCATAAATACAAGGATGCAGCAACTCGCGTAGTAAAATAATTAGGGCCGGTTGTTCCAACTTCTTGGTAGATTTACCCGTCAATTATTTATTAACAAATAATGATCCTTACTCGATGGTTGGAATATCAAGTAAAATTATCTTTATTGTTATTAACAAGAGGTATCTCTTGGTAATAGAGGTAATTTTACTTGGTATTCCAGCCATCGAGTAAGAATTACTGATATTTATTAATAGGAAACTGATGGGTAAATCTACTAAGAAATTGAAAAAAATTAGCCTTTAATCTTTAGAGAGTATAATAGATGTTACGAAATATATTTTAACATTTCCCTTCACAGTTTAAATTTTCAGCTATATTATTTTATTCCATAATTTTCATCTTCTATTAAACACATCACTCTTCATTGAAGACGCTTAATTGCATTTAATGATGCACGATAATAAAATGTAATTGCGCGTTGTGACTGAAATATTTGTTGGCGCTTCTGCTCGAGCGGCTTGCACTATCGAGCGTGCTGAATGCTTCCCTTATGCACGGCTAGGCACGTTGTTCGAACGTATTGTCGAGCCGTTCGCGGGAACAGATAAGGACGACGGAAGGCAGGGGCGCGGAAGGGGCGTAGGGGTTGCGTCCGCAGTCTAACGTGGATAAGTTGGATAAAAAGCGAATCGAACTGCGGTGATCTCTGTGCCAGCAGCACGGTGCAGAAGTGCATTTTCGCTTCTTATGCCGGTGCCGTTGGGAATACGTGTCGCGCTGGGTCTTTTTGCAGTTCGGCGAGTTGAAAATTTGCAATCCCGACGAATCGCGTGGAATAACGTTAGTTCTGGCATTGTTTCCGCCATTAGTTTTTAACGATGCACTATTAGAATAATTTTGAAATAGGAATGTTAATCGGATGTTTAAATTCCAGATCGTACAAACTCCGAAAAAAAGATGAGAAAATAAAGAGATGAAAAATCAATGAGCATTGCACAAATTAAGCATTCTACATTTTAAACTAAAGAGCTAATTAGTTAGTAGCGAATAACGTTAAAATAACGATAGCTAAAATATAATCTGATTGGTATTAATAAAGCAGCAGTGAATTAATACCTCTAGGATTTAGTACTGATCAATTTATCCTGGCAACTGTTAAATTGTAATGAATTGTTGTGCGGACTCTTTATTCTGAAATTACTGTACATATTTACATAGCTAATACCGAGATTTTACGACGAGATTAGTCGCTCGTTAACGCACGAACGATTATTTTGATGAAACAGCGCGAACGGATGACGACATTTATCGGTCGCGACTATTCCGAGTGGAAAATCAATGCTTTATTCGAAGTGCAAGCGCTTGCCGAACAACTGGACATCCCAAATTTTTTATAGTCTCTTACACAATACCGATGACGGAGATTGGCAGAAAAACGTCAGCTTTTATTGCTGCTCGGTGAGAGCAGTTTTTACAATTTTTTTTAATGAAAAACGAACAACGGTGTAGCGAGACAGGCATTAATAAAAGTGTCTTTTCATCGCTCTTTTATATTAACTCTTTCGTGCTGAACGATCGGCTTTGATCCCTATTGGAGGTCAAACGCGATCGTATTATACGAAATTTATATAGATTTGTCTTTATGCATACACAAGTGACAATACAGATATTTCAGCAATATGTTGGATAATGTATGGAAATCATGTATTGAATCTTTTAGCTGTAACATTTAAAAGCGCTTTTTATCGACAAACAAGCTAAACATATTCTGTAATTACGATATATTGTCAATGCAACTTTGTCCACATTAAACATAAAATAACGATGAAATTACGAAAAAATAACGAAAAATACACTACAAAAATACACTACTTCTTGTCTAAAATTGGTCAGGACTATTAGTTTGCTCGATTATCTTTTCAGTGTTTGCACAATGATAAATTAATTTATACCGCAGCAAAGAAATTGACAAAAAATATTTTTTTCATATTTCTTTACAAAAATATTTTTGGGAGTCTATACTTGAAAGAATTAATTCGCGTTCAAAGCAACGTACCATAATATATAGCAGTCACGTATTCTAGGACAAAATATTCTGTCAAACAGGAACGCAATTTCCTTCGAAAAGCATTCGGTAAAGCAGAACGTGTTCTACAGCTATGCAAAATCTCCGGCCTGCGATTTTTCGTGAAAAACAATTTGCAGCAATAAAAAAAAAAAAAGCAGAGAAAATAAAATACAAATTTGGCGGTAATGCGCATTATGACAGGTTTAAAAAGAAATTATAAAGATTACGGTACTTCTTTCTACATCATTAAAGATTAAATCGTCTATTTGACGAGAGCTTGAATACATCTCTGCCTTTCGCAAGCCTCTGCTTTCCCACCCCGCATCGTCGATCCTCGTAATATCGCCAAGAAGGTCTTTGCCATTCATCGCGCTCCTCGTTTTTCCCAAAGTTCCAAACCGACATATTGACGTCGCTGACTGGTAATCCGTCGTTCGGAGTTGCACTTCCCTCAATGCAAGTCTCTAAGTCCCACCACTCTTTGTCCCGTCATCCCTTTTACGATCCGCCGTTTATTCATCCGGCAACCTCATTTAGCTCGATAACTCAATGATTGGCTTTGAACCTTTATTGGAACGCGATCGTGTACTGTATCAAATTTAGATAGATTTGCCTTTAGGCGTATAAGCTATAAAACAAGATAAATATTCCAAAAATATATTGCATTGAATTGTACATTTAAAAATGTTTTTTATCAGCAATAAGTTAGGAATATACTGTAATTACGACGCACTGCCAGTTTCACTATTTCCATATTATGCAAGATGAAATAATATATATGTGAAAATGAAAATCACACATGAAAATGAGAAATATTAATCCACATTATTTACTGGAAATTTTGCTTGCTAATATATATGTATATATGGAATATATAAATAAATCATTTAATAATCTATAATTTTATAGAATTAATATAAACAGGATAATTATTACAATGGTCAAGTTAAGTAGACAATACTAAATTTTTAATTATAAACTAAATTCATTGAACCGAGTGAATATCGATTAATTTTGCTTTTGCAAAATTGAATATAATTCCCTAAATGCATTTTATATATAATGAAGGACGATATCCGATACGTTAATAAATATTATCGAGTTATTAAAATGTGGTAAATATGTTTAATTAATAAACAAACAAAATTGATAGATTTATTAAAATGTGAATAATTATTATTAACTAAACTGTTAAATTGTTTGTTTTATTTACTCGAGGATTTTAATTACCATTTTTACCCATATCTTCCATACAAATAATAATAATATACAATAATGATAATAGTATAACTATGTGATTGTATTATTTGCCCAATCATTTTATTCCCAATGTAATTATTCAAATTTCTTTCGGATAAATCGGAAATGTGTAATAATATAATTTCGGCGATGTAAGCGCCATGCAGGGAAACCGTAGCAGTGCAGTCGGATCTTTTCATAAATATTGTTTGAGTTTCTGTTGGTGTATAACGAGGGTACAACGAAGATGGCAGAACGCCAAGCAGAGTGAAATGCCATGCCCTATATACACCGGCTTGAGGCAATATATTTAGGCACTTGGGATTTATGGTTAACCAGCTTATTAGAGGCCAGTGATGCTCATGGATCGACATGTCTCATATATATATATATATATATATATATATATATAGTGTACCACATTATCACAAATGTCACATTTCTTGCATATCAATACGACCGCGAAATTATAAGCTTCATAAAATTTAGGACATTACTCGTTTCAGTTTACATATAATGCAACATTTAATTAACCATTTTGATTCCATTGTGCATTGTAGAATACATTTATCAATATTTGATACAAATATTTCTTGTGATTTATTATAATCATTTAATAAATATCAGAAAAAAGATCAAACATTATCATTTTACATTATATTAATTGTTAATGAAAACAGTAAACTTAATTTATAAGTTTTCCTTCTTTAAAAAATAATTTTCAACGCAATGTATATTCTAAAAATTGTTTTGGATTTTATTACAATTTATTGCGATACATTAAATAAATATATTTATTTTTTGTTTAATGTTCAATATTTGTTAATATTCAATATTGTGCAACTTTATTATATTTTAATAAAAATAATAAAAAATTGATTAAATTACTAAAAAAAACATGCTTTTCAAATTGTTTGTTGATTTTAGAGACATATTGTGTTTCATTTCTATTACCATATCGAGTATTTCGGATACACGATCGTTCAATGAACCGGGGAAAGCGCAAACAACACTACGTATTCGTTTCGGCGCCAAGATGCTGCCAAGATCGGCGAATGACTCAGTCGCGATGTATTCTCAACAACGCTTTGTTCCACCAAGCACGTGGCTAATGCGGCGACAATTGTCTCACGTGTTGGCATCGTTTTGGCCCGCGATACTCACGTGCACCCACGTTCGCAAATTTTCGTAATCGTGATTTGGCCATTGCATCAGAACAAGAAAATGTTCGCAAAACTAGAGCTATTGTTAAAGTGATTGATTCCTGTATATTTTTTTCTTTTTGTCGCAATAATTACATCCGTTTATATGACACTTTTTTTATATGTGTATAATAAAAAAGATTAATTTTTGCAAGAATAGAATTAAACATTGATTTTTATATGACTAATTTAATAGTCGTTTTTCAGATAGCACATCTTTGACCGATTCTAATAATTTAATACCCTGGAATCTAAATATATATCGAGATTTGTAATGATTTTTATATGTAAAACAAAGTCACAGTCCATTTTCACATGAATGTGAGCTAAACTTGCAATTAGATCGCAAAACGTTAAACACGTCGACGACGTGCGTCGGGATATCATACCCTTTGCTCAAATTTTAATTAAAACGGATAGGGAAATAAACGAAAAACGTGAGAATGTGCAACGCACTTTTAAACGTGAGAGGAATCAGAAATCGCCAGTTGTTCCCCTCGAAACTAATTTACATTTTAATTTTTGCTAATCTTCGTCATTTCATTCTTTGAGTTTTTGATGTATGTTAATTTTATAAAGATAAGTCAAAAGTAAAGAGACATTTTCAGTTAATTTCAGAATTAAAAAATCTCCCAAAATTAAAAAGGTCTCTTTTTTTTACTTTTTTCCGTAAATTTAATATGCGAATAATACAATTATATAGAATGGACAAAAATAGTAATTTTTATCAATGTTTGATCGTCTTGTTGAACAAAGACAGAAAATAGGCTTCTACTAATATGATAAAATATTTTTTACAAAATATTACAAAATGAACAAACATTCTTTCAATTACGTATATTAAAATTATGAAAATATATGGTAATTATTTTAGGCGAGTTACCGAAAATAAAAAAATTTTAGCAAATTAAACTTCTTGATGCTCTAAGTAAATAATAAAAATAAATCGTTACTAATTAAATTATTATAATTTGAAAAATATAAATAACATTAAATAAAAATATATAAATATAATAAATTTATATATAATATGTAAATATAATTTAATTATTTTATAACGTTAATTTTAATTAAATTTTATTGTAAGAAAAAATTTAATTTACGGTAACAAGTAATAGCTTATGGAATAATGGAAAAGTGCTTTCATTGTTTAGATTGCATGGTTATATGCGAGCAATGTTGAAATTGCGAATTCATCGAATACGATGTATTGTTATGTTATCTCTCTTGTTTGCAGGCGATGCATAATACCAGGATTGTGTACTACAGTGCTTTGTTACTGCTCGCTGCGGTAACAAGTACGAATTCGACAAAATGTTCGCGACTCATAGACGGCGTCACTACTCCTCGTTCCAATGCCGAGGGCAAATATCATCTTTTCCTGACGCTTTTCAACAGGACCGAAGTTGCATATGCATATATGCCGAATACCCGGTACAGCGGTAAGTACACATCCAGTTGTAAGCAATCACGAACGCGGATTGAAACTTTAATATAATTTTGACAAATGCAATTTTGCATATTTCGAAAATGGAAAAATAAATATATATATCGCGATTGTCGCGATTTCATTGTCGGAAATACATATAAAAGGAAAATTGCGTTTGGCGTTGTGATTGATTATACATTTATTGTGCTGCATTACTTAGATTATAAAAAGAAATAGTAATATCCAACTGAGAAGTTATCAAAAGTTGTCGAAGCCGAGCATAACAGCTTTAACCATTAACTCCACGAATACTTTTCGCTCTTTGCTGAATTATTTTAAACTTTAAATTAGTTTTGCAATGTGAGAAAAATGATAAAATGCAGATCTCTCATCAGCTGACACGCGAATCATATTTAGATACTTTTTAAAACTACGTTTGTATAAATATGAGATACTTTATGTGTACAAATAAAAATTTAATAAATTATATATCAATATAGAGTTAAATACGTGTAGTGGACATTATTCCAAAATTCGTAGAATCTATTTTTTGTTTATTTTGCATATTCAGATTTTTAAATATCAGCGACTTAATCCGCTACCGCTTATGCTACCAATGTACGCTGCAATATTCGATGTTGGCAGAATTTCGATGCTCTATAAGCCCCGTATAGATACAAACGTTCGTTGATATAGAACTCTAAGACTCTTAAAAATGTCGGATATTGCTTCGATCCGTCAATATTCTTTGATTTTACGACATCGGCGAAAATAGTGAAACATGTTACGAAGTAGCTTAAGGAGAAAGTAAATAAATTATTGGTCGAAAGTTCTATTTTAATCTATGAATTTTCTTATTTATATTTATCGTTTTAGTGAATTAAAATTGGTTTTAAAAGTAGAATTTTCACAAATTAAACATCGAAATATGACAGAACTTCCCGAGCCTTTTTCATCTTCACGAAAATGATTAACTTAGAGGTTTTATTTTTTTATTAGATTTTATTAAAAATAAAATAAAATTTTAAATGTAATATTTGAAGTAAAAAGGTTGAATTAAGTACGTAGTTAAGAAATTTAATCGCGACAAATTGGCTAACAAATCACAATAGAACTCGTACTAAGAAACTGAAACGAGCATAGATGTCATCTGCATATTAATTACCGGCATTCTGACGCGCGCACGTTGATTTTACCGTGGCTCTACGCCTTTAGCGGTAATTGCGACAATTACTGGAGAGACCGTAGATCTTTAGACGTCGTAAAGCGACGGCTTTCTGTGCGTCGCAACGGCGGTCTTCCGGCCAGCGGAAACCGCGCTTTGGATTGAAAGGCTGGGTGGAGATTCGGGAAGCAGCGGTGAGAGATCGAAAAGGTCATTTTGCCTTGAAAGTCGAGATAAACGCCGCGCGCGCGACCCGGTCAAGTCACGATGAACTTTGACCGATTAGCTTTGTGACGGTTTTGCGCGGCTGCGGTTTGATAATCATCTCTGAAAGTTATGCAGGTTATACAGGGTGACCCACCCACTTTGGAACTTTCTTACTGATAATTTTTTTCAACGATTTAAAATGTCGTTTTTTTTTTAAATAAAAAATGTAAGATTTATAGAAATTAAGTATCTTAGAATTAAATCTTGAATTAAAAATAAGTCAAATTAAATTTTTCCAGATTTACTGACTAATCTTACTATATGCCTTTGATTTTCAAAATTTCCAACTGCACACAATATCGATGTGTTAACACTGAAATTATTTTATGATTTTATTACCATTCAGTATATCTATTTACTATTTAAAAATATTTGTATAATATTTGTAATATCTAGTCGTTTATTACAAAAATCCGTTTTATTTGGTTATATTGTCCTAAAGTGCCAGATTTTTCAAGCTCCCTTGTATAGCTATACCAGCTGCACAGCTTTTATATGAAGTATCATTAACCTGCGCAATATGATATCGTTAAGTAGATCGATGACCGTAGTCTCAGACCTCTCTTACTTCGACACGCTGAGATAGATATTTCTAGTATAATCCTTCAACACCTTAGTAAGAAATACTTCTGAATAAAATCGTCCAATCAGAGTTTTACGATGGAAGACAGCAGATTTATGTCCCGTCGGCAGGGAAAACTGCAGGAGACACTTGGAGAGTTTCTGTGAAGCATAATTTGCATCCTTAATATACCTGTATACAGCTAAACTTGTTTAACCGATTTTATTTTCCCGTGAAATTCGACTTTTATCATTTACAGATTTAATATTTAAGTTTTTTAATATATTGCAACGTTTAAATTTTATTTATGAATGCAAGATGTCTCTCAGACCAACCGTATTACCCTGTTAACAGCAAATTCTTGAGGTCATTTAAAGACAAAAATCTTTACACCAAAATATCGAGACTATAATGATTTTTAAATAGGAAGTGTTTAAACTTGATCAATCAGATTGTCAAAAATTCACGCGCTCAGGCATGTGTCGCATGCAACATATCAAATATTTCCCATTTAAAAATTATTGTAGACATTTTGGTATAAAGATTTTCGTTTCTAAATAATCCTCAGAATCTGCTTAACAAGTGATACGGTTGGTCTGGAATATTTTTCATATATGTTCATGTTGAAAAAATATTTCTGCAGTATAATATTTACAAAGATATAAAACTGCACTTTGTAATTATTTCTCCTTTCATCATAATTTTCCTGCACTATAGAATTACTTTTGTCCGCCGCTATATGTAAAGCACGAACGCTTGCTAGAACAAAACCGACTCTACGCGTCGATATAAATTCCAGTATCTCCTACGGAAACGTCTCTATTTGTTCGGCCGGCGATGCAATAAAGCCCGCATCTCGCTCTCTGTTTCGTCTGACCCTCTCTCGCGAAACTTACCTCCTCGTGCGGCACCTCCGGCGTCCACTAACGCATGCAAATCCCGCGGGTCCGGTGAATTAATGCGTTACGTAACGCTGGCGATACGCCAGGTGCGAGACACCGCCGCGCCTCGCCGCAGATTTAACGCGAACGGATTCAATGGCCGGCCCGATAAAATTCTATTAAATCGCAGTGGTCGGAGGAGACGTCGCTCGACCGCTCTTTAGAGGTTAAACCCTGAAGAAGAGGCCAGCCTAGAAAGCTCGGGAAAATTATAGCTTCGTTGCTCCGGAGAGTCGCGAAACAATGTGGAATAATAAAGTCTGCTATGATCAACATACATATATGTTATCGCGTATGTGTTAATCGCTAGGCTTTTCTTCTTCCTAATGATCAAAACCATCGGGTATTTCTTTGCCTCATAATTCTTGCTGGAATTTGCTGAACATTTTTTCATAGAAAAAAAAGATCGCTTTTTTTATTTGATTTAAAGATATAATTGTTTAGCATTTACTGATTAATCAAAACGTTTCTAAAATTTGATTGTTGTAAAATCAATAATTATGATCCCCATTTTTCTCATGATATCTTTTGTAACGAGTTATAATCTAGAAAACGTCAATAAATCACTAAGCGCAAGAATTTATGGAAATTGCTACAATTAATGCAGAAAATTGTTTACACTAATTAACTGAAACTGTAACGTACCGTTAATTAACTGTAAATATAATCAACTTAATTTTCATTTTCTTTTATATTAAAATTTTAATTACGTCATTGTGATATAACGTTCACTAATTAAGAATAGTTAAATAAGTGGCCGATTAATATCACAAGTTTATTATATTAATATTAATTAACATTTCTTTTAATAAAATTAATTTTTTATCTTCATATTTTGATGTACCAGAATTTATAAAATCTATGGGGGATTCCCGCAACATCAAAATTATGCATATAATAAGGTCTGATTATCTACAAACACTGACTCCACTACTTTTTTCCCTGAAACAAACCATCGACCCATATAAGTAGAAGTAGATAATGCAGCGTGTGGTCAGACACGTTTCCGCAGGAGAGCAGTCGTACGCTACGTTTTTTCCCCACTATTTTATCCGAACGAATGAGTCCGTATGCATAAAATTCTAAGGAAACCTGCGAACCAGATGTTATCCCTTTTTTTTTAATGTTCAGAAAAACTTATAGCATATTGCCGGATGCATATTTTTATCGCACGCGCAAATAGAAATGTAAATCTACTTAACAAAGCCAGATAAATTTATTTATGTGCATAAATTATCTGTAAAAAACTACAGACATTAACACAAGACATTAATTCTGTGCAAATAAATTTGTGCAGATTTAGCCTTCCGGGTAAAATTATAGGAAACCAAGTGTAGCGAATCACCGCCAGCGTCGCGGAAGCAACAACGCGCCCGAATTCCTCCGTCACTTCATCGCGTTCTGCGAATTATGCAACTTTGAGCTCGTTCCGTGTAAATTTGCGCCGTCATTTCTCGGTAGCTCGACTTCTCATCGACGAGACGGAGTTGCTCGCTCCGTCAAATTCGTCGCTAACCACCGTCGGAAACTAATACCACCTAAGACGCCGTCGCCGTCTCGTTTCATGATTAACAGAGGAATTTCAGTCACGCGTCCGCCGAGACGCAGTTCCGCGCGATAATTTTAAAGCGCCTGTACATTATTATTCGGAATTGATTAATAATTCATCCAGCCGCTGTTGTGCTGTCGCTCAGGCAACGTTACACGCGTGTGTGAACCCCATTGTTCAGCTTTACACGTAATCCGTTTTGTTGAATGTGAGTGAAAAGTCGAGCTTTCGGCGAACGAATTTAGCGTGAACCTCAGTGAGTCGAGCGACATCATGCACGCACATTAAGAATGTGTTGATGCCCGCAAAACGCGGATCTAATCCAATTTCTTACTGGTTTCGGGTCGAGTTCGGTCATTCGACGAAGTTGAATAACTCTAAAACTGTCGGCACCTGAAATTGGTATCGACCACTTTAATTCTACAGAACGCGAGCTCGAAATTATCGGTTTTTATATGTTTACGTCGTTAATCAGGAAAACGAGGTTCACAATTTTTGATATAAAGCAAGCTTAATAAGAATTTTCTAGTATAATTATTTAAAAGTAAGTCAGTAAAAATATCAATAAAATTTTCTATAAAAAATTTTACTTTTCTCTAATCTATATTATTTTATATTCAAGTTTTAATTTGACTGACTTTATATCTATTTATTTAAATTTTAAACACGCGCATGCAAAATACTCGACTTTCACTGATTTCTTTTCATTTCTGACAATAATTTCTTTTTGTAAATTTATATTTTTTGCTTCTCGAGAATTAAGTTACTTAAATTATAGGAACATTACCATTTTTGTTTCAAAGAATAGATTTCTTCTCAAAAGTTTTTTACACTCATAAAACAAGACTACTAATTATATTCACATTCAAACTGGATTCGATTCAATTTGAATAGATTCGGGCCAAGTATGTGCTCGAAAATATCGGACATTCACAGAGTGTCGCGTGTTTCTGTTGTAAAACATCGGCGATACTCTTTGGACATTCTCAAACGTCGAGGGGCTCGTTGCGTGGGAAACATGATAGTCCGACGAAGGTCTCAGTTAACTGCGTTTTTGCCGTTAATTCTTCTAATTCAGGGTTATGAGAATAATTATGCGGGAGGTAAATACAAGCGCTGATGACTCATTGTCATCACTGACGCAACAAATTTTTTGAGCTTCGATAAATGCTGCGTATCAGCGGATTAACGACAATACTAAAATTAAATTAAATTAAAACGGTTTTTGTTTTTTGACCCGATATTACTACTATTAATTTACTACCACTAATAATTTCTATTTCTTCATTTAACTTTTGCGATCAAATTAAAAGCTTTTTAAATACGTATAATTTAGTTTTAAACATCTTTAAAGAACTTTCTTAAGATCGAAGTCTTAGATTCGAATGTGTAAGTCTCATACATATAAAGCGACGTAATTCAAGAAGACCCATAGCATCAGAAGCCATATAGTTCCAAACAGCTGAGTGTTACATGTTAATATAAAGTGTGAACGAATAGACAACCTTGCGATTAGATTGTTTCGCAGTGCGTATGTTTAAGTCTTTTATCTAATTATTTATGTAACTACACGTTGTCCTAATAATTTCGCATTTTTTTCAACAAAAAATGATTCAGTCTCTATATCATACGTCGATTACTAAACAGCAGATGTATACAATTGACCATTATTTATATTAAATATGTATAATATTTTAATATGATAATATTTAATAATTAATCAATAACATTACTTTATTACAAAAGCATTATATTATAAATTTACGGTGATAATTTCATGAAAATCTAAATATTGTTTAAATAAGAACGCGCTAGAATGTAGCACGCTTACACATGAAGAATATTTCGTAATAGAGAAAGAAATACACGAATCCCCCCTTAAACGCAGCAGCGGATTCACGGTGTGTCATGTTTAATCCATGCTATAAATAGCGGGCCGGTAGCCGGGCTGATATATTTCTATTCCGAGAACGCGAATATTCCTTCGACACATGGAAAATCTATAAACCGATATGCATGTACATACATTGTTTTGCTATCTCCAATAAGAGACATTATACCTTAATAGGTCTGGTGCCTTGATGTTCTTTAATTAGAAAAAAATAATTTCAAGCAGAGTTCATAGATAAAATATAAATGGATAGGTTTAGTATATAATATTGTATAATATATATACAAATTCTTCCTAATTCAAAATATGCATTATTCTGTTTTCTAAAATTAAAACAATATTTCGATCGTCAGTTTTAATTTTTCGATAGATAACGATTGTTATTCATGCTTAACGTTCTGCAAAAGCTTTTTCTCGACTACTTAAATTCTCCCTCTTTCTCACAAAATTTTATCCTCGTCCGTAATTAATTATAAATTCCGCGCGAGCAACACAAAAGTTTCTCGTATTTTTTTGGTTAAACTATTCGGAAAATTTTTATAGACACTCTTGATCGCGCAGAAATTATGACGAGAGTAATTCGCGGCAGTAACCTCGCTGTCTAATTACAGCGATGTATGAGACATTGTTGGGAATTCTGTGACGTTATAGCAGTGACGTAAAACAAAAGAAAAGAGTACTTACAAGATCTCGTTATTCTTTATAAAGTTTTCTTTTATACTATTATATAATTCACATTCTTATATGACACAAGTTTTAAGCTAAAGCAACGATAGAAAATTTTAGATTTATTAAAAAATTTATATATTAGTTTTAAAAAAATATATAATTATATTAGTATCTGAGATATAAAACATGCAATAAATAAAAGTTTTAAATTGAAATTCTTTTATAATCATAGCTAATTACAAAAGAGCATAAAAATCGACAACTAATTAATTTTTATATCATGGAGCGATTCATTTAAATATACAGGTACATATTAAGCGTTAAAATATTTAATCAGCAGAATTTAATATCAATAAGTCGATATTAGTAATATCAGAGCAATATTAGCGATCTAAATTATTAAAAATATGTATTTAAAATTAAAAATTATTATTAGATTAAAAATATTATAGATACATACAAACACGCTTTTTATTAAATTTATTTGAATGTATTATTAAATTTTATTGATTGCATGTTAAAGCGTTTTATTAAATTCCATTGTGCCAAAATTTTATTCCTTTCCATATATAGTTGCTACGGACAAATTCATAAGCATCAATCATTTATAAAATTACAATGAAGAGGTAATCTATATCGTTGACATAAGATATGTCACTCTATAGAACGTGTTGCGGACATACCAAATAGAGTTCGCGACGATTATTTCAGTGATCCTACGAACCGATGACAGCGATCAGATGCATCGGAAGTTCACGAGATTCCTCATATCTGCCGAAGCCGAAAACGCGAACGAGACGGCTGACGTCGGCGTTTTCGATCTTCAGGACGACACGATGACCAAGTTCGCGGATAATTGCGCAAATGCCGTCGTGGAGATGTCCAAAGTGCACAAAGAGGAAATATCTGTACCCTGGACCAGTCCTACCGAAGGTAGCGGTTGCATATTTCTCAGGTGAAAGAATACTCTTATTAATGCAAAAAGAAACTATATCTATTCTGCAATATTTGTAAAACGATAATTAAATTAGACTGAATTAGTATAATTTTTATGATATAAATGCGTCACCCTCACATTTAAATCCATTTGAATATCACGGGACATGATCTTTTATAAAACACTCGGCAATAATATCCGCGCAGCTCTATAGATTTATCGCCCGTCCTATCTTTTTTTATTGCCATTCCAGAGCGACGGTGATGGAAACGCCTGATACATGGTACATGGACGACTCAAACTTAGTTCGCAAGATGTGTCAAGACTCAAAAGCGGAAGCCGATGATCAGGGCCCTATACAACTTGAATGTTGCGCTTGTGATGAAGCAAAATACGAAGTGACTTTCGAAGGATTGTGGTCGCGAAATACACACCCCAAAGTATGACGACGAGTATCGACAATGAGTAAAAATCGATGCGTAGATTTAGAATTCGCGAGCTACGGTGTAAGACATGCATTCTTGTAAGATTTGGATTCTCATAAGAAACGGCTAAAAAAATTTTACATTTTACAACGTATGGATTTCGCGTTTAACATCTGAATGACTTGTATTGTTTTATCTCTCGAAACTAGGGCATATGTGTAGGCCATCGGTATACCGGATATCGAAGCCACCAATCATTTGCGAAGAGCATAATTGACACTCGGGATTTATTCGTTCATTTATTACTTTTTATTTCTATAGGACTTCCCCAGTAAAGGCTGGCTCATCCGATTTTCGGATGTGATCGGTGCTTCGCATTCAGGAGATTATCGTTTTTGGCAATACAATGGCTTGGCTAGCACGGGATTGCGTCAGGTGGCTGAGCTCGGTGCAACACGAAAATTAGAGTCGGAATTAAAGGATCAGGTAAGAGATGCGAAATATGGGATGCGAAAACTGAGCATCTAGATGAAAGCTTTGCGAAAGCTTTTAGTCCATTTTGTCATGTTTCTGGGATGTGTTATTTGAGTTTAAATATTCAAACTATTGTATATTGTAATTCCCTTTTTTTTCAAATTCAAATTAAAACTATTGTATTCCCTTTTTTTCTCTCTCTCTTTTCTTTAAATTTTAATGTGATTAATATATTATTTTAAAATATGTATGAAACAAATAGAAATATAAATACACATGTGCATAATTACATATTTTCATTAAAATAAGATAGAATTGTGAATTAATTAAGTTGTGCAATATTTTAGCAACTTTAAAAATTGTAGAAATCCAAAAATAACAACGCAAATAAATTCATTAAAGTTACATCATCATAAATATATATAAGTATAGGTACATATAAATTATCAATAATAAATATTTGGAATTTTTTTTTATAGTCAGAACACATCAGAACTATAATTAAAGCAAGAGGCATTAGCTATCCGAATGTCACTGGAAAAACGTTCGCTGTATTTCGTGTCGATCGCAAAAATCATTTAATGAGCTTGGTATCAAGGATTGGTAAGACTAATTCTTATTGTTTAAATAAATCACAGCCGGCCTTGGAAAAAAGCGAGTTGTGTTCTTATAAAAGCTAAGTCAGAAAAAGCATCTTTGCTCGATAAAAAAAAAAAGCTGGCGTATTCCCTTTTTTGCACTTTGTATTAAATAGATAATTAATTGACGAGCCAAAGGACTCCTTCTCTTTCATATAAAATCTTTTTTTTTTAGATCTTTTTTAGCAGCTCTAATCAGTCTACTTTCTTTTTTTAAGACTAGGAGTACATAAAAAAATATTCCACACAGCGCCAGGGAGACTTAGACTTCTCTAAATAAAAATAAAATAACAAGCAAAAAATAGCCTATTATTGTTTCTTAATACAAAAATTAAATTAAGAAATAATTGTTCGTTATTAAAAAATTCAGATCCCTCCCCTGATTGGCTGGTTGGTGTTGACGGTCTCGAACTTTGTTTACCTAATTGTTCCTGGATAGAACACAAAGAGCTGAATTTGTATCCTTACGATGCTGGCACCGATGATGGAATTACATATTTGGTGAGCAAATATTTATCAATTTTTATTTTCAGTCGCTTATAATTCAAGATCGATTGACGCATTATTATAAAATGTTAAAAATTAGTGACAAGAGTAAAAGAAAATGTAGTTAATCTGCGACATTTCTTATCGGTCGTAATTTTCAATGAATATTGCAATATTGCAATTGTTCTTTTTTAGATCATTTCCCCTTTTTTCTCTTTTAAAATATTGAACGTAATATGTTATTTTTACGTCCTTCTCCATTTATTTTATTTTTTCGTTCTGTAATTTTTCCCACGTGAATTTCGCGCCTGTAATTCGGTGAAATGACTCGATGAAAATTTTACGTCCACTTACGACTTCGCGTTTCGCTGTACAAAGTGTAATAAATCTTTGACTATGTCTATCTCGATATCAACACCAATATTTCACCAAACGCGCGCAATTGCTTGACAAAAAAAAACTCGTTATCTGTCAGCATCAGATGGTCGTATAATCTATAGGTATAGGGGAGTACCTGATTCTATAAATTCACAATCAGTCCTTTATAACGTAAGTATTAGGACATCGTTTAGTTTTATACTTCTTTGACTTTTTCACACACTTCTCTTCGACTTTTTCTCGTTTCTTCCTCGTTTTTTTTCAAAAAATTTTCCATCATGCTTTATTCAATCACGCGCGCACGTTAGTCACGAAAAATTTTTTAACAATTCTTGTAGTGGTAGATTTATTTTTTACTGTTGCACTGCAGCTCTTGCATATCGCAGTGTATTGGGAAATAAAGAGCAACACAAAAATAAATCTAAATAATAAATTATAATGGTAGGAAATTTTATATGTATTTTATGTTAAATTATTATAGTTATTATGTTAGTAAGATTCATCTTTTTTAATTATTTAATTACTAGTCACCCGATTCGCCAACGGATCCGCAAGAACCGATTCGACGTATTACGTCGACGTACCCGAACGACTCGCGATCGCCCTTTTACGAACCGTCGGGTCTGGACATGAAACCTCTTGCGAAGCTTTACTTGAACAGACAGAGGTTATACGAGACAACCTGCGAAGACATCGGCGATACGCCGGGTGATACGGATGCAACGGATTCAAATAAAAAAAATAGCAAGTATCGCTTTATTTAACAAAAGATATTTTTGTTTTTCGAACGGTGGAGAATTATATCATTCGAGATTTTAAACCCCAATGTATTAATTCCTAGCCGGTAATTTTCTCGACGGCGCAAAAAATTTACATTTCACTGAAAAAAAATGCGGAATTAAACATCAGTACTAAAACTCGCGGACAAGCTTCCGCGAAGTTGAATGACTAATGTACAAAGGTAACATTTGTCATCCCTACGTCACAAACAGATCCGTATAATTATTTTTCAAGTTATTTATGCAAAAGCTGTTTTAAACGGAATAACGTTTTAGACAAACGACTGTTCGTACAAAGAACGTTTTTGCTTTGCAGAATTCGTTTGATTCCATTTAATGATATGTAGTCTTTTTTGTCATTCTGTAGATATATACTGCATGTGTAAATTTATTATATTTATATATATGAAATACTTATTGAGCGGATTATTTGCAGTATGTGATTAATTAATAATGATATAATTATCATTTCAAATGCATTAATACGAAATTTAATGCAATTTAAATAATCGATGTTCTATAGAGGCCTGTAGAGTCACGCATTGGGGGGAATGGGGCGCATGTCCAGTCACCTGTGGTAGAGGCACTCAGCTAAGACAACGTCATTTTCGCGACGAAGCGGCGGCGAATGCGAACAAGTGCAGCACGCCTCTCACGGATCGAAAACCATGTTATAATATACAAAACCCGTACTGGTAATGAATGCAATGGCATTATATATTTTTACAGTCACACAATTAAAACTATTTTATAAAATTTCTCAAATTTCTTTTCTTTGTCAAATTCAATAAGTTTCTCTTACAATTTTCTCGACTTTTTCTATTGTCTCTACATGTTTACAAACTTTTAATGTACGAAAATTTGATACACTTTTATATATTTCTTCAACTCTTATACTTCTACCAAAAATATTTTGGACTGTAAAAGATATAATAGAAAAAAAATATTTATAAATTATTTGGCTATTGTTAATAGTGATTCGTATTTGTATCATCGCGAGATAATTTCATTTGTAATTCACCAGCACTACTAACGGTCGTCACGACGGCCTATTAGATAGCGAAAAGTGCGTGCTGACCGAATGGAGCGCGTGGAGTTCGTGCTCGTCGACCTGCGGCAAGGGCCACAAGACGCGAGCCAGGAACTTTCGGCAGAAGAAATTTCGAAAAATGTGTAAGGCCGTGCCGAACGGGCCGGAACTTCAACAGTCGATCGATTGCGACAACGAGCCGTGCGAGGGCGAGGACATGGAGGAGGTAAGGCCACGATTGAATCATTTGGACGACGATGACGAGGATGAGGACTATGGCGGTGAGAGGTCGGACGGGAACGGAGAGATAACCGAGGAATGGCTGCAGGTACGAGGAGGTTCAGGGATATCAGAACTAACCGGTCAGACAGGAATGAGTTTTCCGACGAGACTGATTCGCGAAGCATGCTTGATTCAATAGTCCTGATATGCGAATTCTACGTCTAGATTCTGCTATTGCGATTGTTAAATTTACATTAAAAAGAGATTTTCCTACTGTGACTTGTCACTCAAATTGAGAATTCAAATTCTATGACAAGTCTAATGCTGGTTATTTTTTTAGCAAAGACCTTGTTGAAGATCACTTATCAATGGCTTTTAATTCTCAACGTTAAATATTTTTACATTCGCGTTTCGTATTCAATTTGCATCAAGATTGATTTAAAATTATTCTGCTATTTTTTGTGTCACCAAGAATTAATGTGCGAATGAAAGTTTCTTAATTTGCAATGTTTAATAGTTAAATATAAAAAATAATTCCACAGTTATCAATTCATTAAAATAACTGTCGTTCATTCCATTCATTAAAATAACTGCAATTGAATTCACACACAAATCTCGGGTTTTATTTCGTTAATGGAATCAGATTTGATCTCCAAGCTTCATTTATTTCCAGAATTGGTATTCATTTCTTGGACTTTATTCGAGTGTAAAATGGGATTTGCTAATTTAATTTTTCGATGAATCAGATTTGTTAGAAAGTTCGCTCGTGTACGACTAACTATTACGTACGCTATCTAATAGATATCAAGCGGTCGTCGTTTCTTCAACGAATAATAAATCACATGCCTTAGTTATACTAGAAAAATTTTAATTAAATTTAATTAAATTTATAATTTTATCGATTTCAATTGAAAAAAATTGGACAACAATTTTATCTTAAGTTATCGCTGCAATTTAATTAAAGGATGAAGAGGGAATATTTTTACACATAATTTCTTGAATTGTAATTAGATTACCATTTTTAGAGTAAAGAGTAAGTAGAATTATAATAAAATAAAATTCGCTTTAAAACGTAAAGCGAAAAGTTACTTGTTGCCAACTGTACTGCTTAATCTCACCACTGTTTAAATTCCAAACTTTGTAATTTAAAAAGTGTTGTTTGTGGAATAAAGTAAGCAGTTTTGTTATCATGAATTTTCCATCAGTCTATATAATTGTGAAAGCGCTTGAGTGTTTGCTTTGTTTTACGCGCACGAAAAATACACGAAACGCACGATCCGGTCGATATTTATTAAAATAAATCCGACAGCTTTGCTAAGTATTAAATCATCAGCCAGGCAGCGACGAGCTTCGCACGAGTAATTGATACCTGCACCATTTCTCGTAGATCCATCCATGGCACCGGCACCCTCACGTAAGTCATAAAGGAAAATTTGCGCTTGAGCGTATGGAAAATTTAGTCATGTTTCTTATAGAATGCTAATAAAATGTGCAAGAAGTGTAGCGCACAAAGCGCGTCGAACATTAAAAGCCCATTAAGAGGTCCAAGTTCCGGCGTTTTATCTTAAATATTATTTTAGCAGAGATTTTTTTCCGAATGCTTTCAGATTCGCTTTTCATAACGACAGCTTTACGGCAAAAAAAAATACGGCCGCTTGTTTTCATGTTCAATCTATCTGCGCTATTTTCCGACGAAGAGAAATATCTAAATTAATGCTTACATTAATCCATCGATTCTCGCGGAGCACAAACACGAATCGTAATGAATCAGTATAGCGTTTCAATTTAACAATCATCACTAATTACCATTAACAATTGCGTTTACGCTAATGATATTTCACATGCGTAATTAATCGATTGACTACATTGGTCGCAGAAATGTCCCGCAGACCGCTACACACAATGGTCCATGTGGTCGCCGTGTAGTTCAAGCTGCGGGCCTGGTGTCAAATTGAGATCTAGACTATTAGCGTACAAAGGTACATGGAGTGGTTCAGATAAGGACGATGGAGATAGTCATGAGGAATGCAAGGTTCAACAGGCATCGTGTATAGCCGAAATTTCGAGCTGCGACTTGTCGAATGAAGAAGCAGAAAGTACGTAGAATGTTGAATGTAAACTATCATATACTTAATTAAAAAGATTCATGCCATTTTCTATATAAAAAATAAAATTAAAATATAATGTATTTTTGAAATCAAGTTAATTATGTTTTAAACACTTGTTATAAAATTATAACAAATATATTTCTTATAAATTCTATATTTCTCTTTATATATATAAATTGTGCAAAATTTTTCAATAATGTAAATTTAATGATATAAATATATAAAGTTATTCAATAATATAAATATAAAAACAAAGAAGTTGTAAGATATTTTTAAAAACTTACACGATAAATCTTCAATTTATTACAAAAAATTCATATTTAAAATAATTTGAAAACAGTTTATCTGAAATATTTTTCATTATGAAATCGCTAATATCAACAGTCAACGTACCATTATTTCATCTACGCATCTCATTTTCGAGTATTATTACACAGCTGCACACCTCATCATTAGATCATCTCATCACTATGTAAATAACAAATGATTATTACTGATTATAGAGATCTGTAGCGAACCTGTGGAGAAGGGACGTTGCAATTCAAACATATTACGATTCTATTTCGACAAGCAAACCAGTCGCTGCCACGTATTTAGCTACTCCGGATGTGACGGTAATCGAAATAATTTCTCGACCGACAAGGATTGCAATAATGTCTGCGGTAATTTCCAAAGTAAGTTAATCCGATTATTCGGTGCCGTGTATGCTGTTTTACAACTGCGCTCTATATTAATAACTATGCAATCTGCGCATGTAATACACCGATAAAATTTCCAACTCCCATCCACGAGAAGCAACTTCCGCGCGCATTCAAATTTATCGTGTAACTATCGATATATAGTTTACAAATTATACGCCTCGCATGCCGCGCAGTAGTGATATCGTAAACAAACTATCTCTTCACAAATAACCATTCATATTATCCTTTGCACACGCTTACTAATCAATTCAGGAGAATTGAGGGCGAATCTTTCGGCGATCATGAAAAACTTTAAGGTGTCCCTTAGCAGTGTCCTCAGCTATCATATTCCCGCACAGGAACAGCGCAGCACGAAGGCAAAGCGAGCGCAGCACGGTGATAATTTATTTTATGCAAAAATTATTCAACATTCTGATCAATATCAGACTAATGTTTACAAAAAGACTTCACATATGAAAACTTTCCGTTCTTACGAAGATTTATGCGAATTTAAAAACCATTAACCGAGAAATGCAATGTACGGAAATTTCTGCTTCGCTGGAGATTATATTGCATCTCTTTACAGAGAAAGAGGATTTTAAAGGCATTCAAGCGGGCAGTCAGATAATGGAATCAAGTGAGAGTAATAAAGTGGACTGTCAAGTTTCGGAATGGAGTAAATGGTCGCATTGCGCGAGCTGTCGTGGATATAGCATGAGTATTAGAGAGATTATGGTACGTGTATTATTGTAAACCCGTACACTTATTACATTTTTCAACATTCACTCAATAATCATATTTCAACGACTAATAAATATTGACTGACATAAATTTTCAGTCAAATAAATATATATTGTCAAGTTGATCAATAATCATAAAACGAAAAGATAATACTTATATTTTACCACAAATATTTATCTTGCGAACAGATTCCAGCCAAAGATGGCGGTAAAAAGTGTCCGAAGAAGTTACTCCGAAAAAAGAAGTGTCATAAAATTCCACCATGCTGTGAGTATTTTTTCTCCAATTTATTATTACAAAATAATCTACAAGTAAAATTGCAATTATAGAAATTTAATACGTTTTATTAAATTATTTGAAAATATTTTTACTAGAACAAGAAAAATTGAGATCTTTAGAAACAAGAAATTTTTAGATCTAAAAGTTTTTAATGTTTTGGTTTCTCGGATTTTATGATTATTAGAAATAAATTTTGCAGCTTTACAAGGTGACGGAACCGGCCGGCGATATCATCGAGACAAAAATACCGGAACCGAGTACGAAAGTACGTTCTATATCACTTTAAAAGATCGTTTTAAACAAGTAATTAAAATTTCGAATTTACTATGAATCCGGAATTTGTTAAATTTACTAAAATTTCATACTTCTTGTGATTACTTCATCCGTAATATGTAATTTGTCCGATGAGATATATATTTAATTTGTCTTGTTTCTTTAACTATTGTGTATCTTGTGCTAAGATTCGATAGATTGCAAAGTGACACCGTGGTCAACATGGTCAAGATGCAGTGCGACCTGCGGCGACGCATTGCGAAGCAGAGTAAGAAGCGTGATGATAAAGCCGCGCGGACGCTGGGCTAAACTCTGTCCGGCTTTAGCGGAATTCAAGAAGTGCCCGAAGGTAGATTGTCCGCAGTAACGAACGCTCGTTGTCGCGTTTTACTATTTTCGAGTCGATATGCATATTGCGATTTGCACGGCGGTGCATTTATTTAAGATCAAATGTTGAAATTTATATGACTCTCGTTAGACTGATTAGTGACGTCTCCCCTCCCTCTTTTCAAAATTTTAAGTAATTAAAATCTCGGAATGCGTATAAGAAAGTAGAGATAAGAATAAGAATAACACTGGACGACAGTAATTTTTTTCTACAGAAGATTGCCATTCTGGGAATGAAAATGACAATAGAAAAACTAATAAAAATAACGGCAAAAAGATAGCAGATAAAATGACAAAATTTCATTGGAATGGATATTACAATTAAAGATGTTTTAGATTTGGAAGATTGAAGGAATACTTTCATCGCACAATCTAACAATACATTCATCTAATTTCTGTTTGTAATTTGCACATAAAATCTTATTTCGTAAAAATAAAAGAAAATCAAAATTTCTAAGTTTATAAATTATTGAATTAGAAAGATTAAATATTTGTTGACCGTGAAAAAAAAATTAACGCGGATATAATTGTGTAAAACAAAAAAATTGATTTCTATATTGCACAAAATATGCTTGAGATGTATTTTATGACATATTGTGTGAGTTATATAAAATTTGTATGAATGCCTAACTAATGCTTAAAATGGCAATGCATTTCACGATTATTTTTTATATAAAATTAGAGCAAAAATTTATATGTAAATTTTGTAAAAAATTGCAGCGAAAAAAGTGGCTTTTGATATTGTTTCTGTATCACATAACTATGTTTATTCTCTGTCCTCCAGTGTGATCTATTACGCACAGAAAAATAGTGCCATACATCATTTTGCAAATCGCCATGTCGATGTTGAATTACTTAATAATATATTTAATATGACTTAACTTAAAGCTGTAATACTTGACGTTATTTTCCCAATATTGCATTAAGTTAAGACAAAGTGGATTTGCATTCCAAGTCTTGTGCTTAGAAAATGCGAAAAATAATATAATTTGCAATTTGCAATTGCTGTAATACAATAGTGTCGAATATTCAATATAGCCAAATGTGAAGGCAAATTATTACATCATTTAACATTCACTTAAATATAATGTAAAAGCGAACTAATTACAGCATAATACTATAACATTAAGTAAATTGCTCCTTTTTAGCGCGATAGTGAAACACGTGTAAACACGAAGGAGACCATTTGTAACAATAAAGTTTATTCGTACGTACGCGTACCGTTATATTTGTGGCATTTATTATGCATTACAGATCTCAATGTAAGACCAAAGTTTGTAATAGCTTCAGTTGAAAACTGGGAACCATATTTCAAAATACAGTTGTATAATGCGTAGACATATCAGTAGATAGTAAGCCGTTTGTTAAATGCATAACAAGACGTTTTATTATTATAAAATTCTCTTCATTGACAATAACAAAATTGTAGATATGGTATAAAAAGTTATTTAAATACTATTCTTTAGAGAAAGCCATTATACTATATTCATAATAAAAATAATCATTATAAATGTATTTACAGATACATATTATTTCATTATCTTATATATGTAAAAGATTTTTTTCACATATTGGTAATAATGATAAATTATCATTTAATTATTGAAAATATTTCATTCAATATCAATAAATTATATATTATCACTTTGACTAATTGTGCTAGATGCACCAATCTCTTCATTATTCTTTACTGAACTGTCTCTATTTTTACTATTTAGCAAGGGCTTTATTAAAAGTAACACAACATTCTTCTTTGATGGCATTCGCTGGATATCACCATAGTTTTTCACTACTTCTTCTATGTTGCTTTGTACTTTATCCTACATGTTGAATAAAAAACATATGTATAATTATGTTATTTATAAAATATTTTCTATCATTAAAAAAATTATTGTTTCACATTGTACTTTTGATATAATTAATATCATTTTTCAAAATTTAAAGTTGCACAATTTAGAATTCATGTAATGATGAAACTGTATTCTGTCTTGATTTAATAATTTTAGTTTTTTCATACATATATAAACAGATACACACATATAAAGAATATTAATTTTATTATACTATTACAAATTTTATAAATCTATTTACTCTCTAATTTCATATGTAAATATCAGATTGAACCTCTTTAGATGCGGCTAGTGATATATAATTCAAATTTTCTACTTTGACTATCTCTGGATCATGTCTCATTGTTGATCAATCGTTATATTATCAAAATAAATAAGAGAAAAATTATTTTTGGAGATAAACTCACTTCAACTGCTTCATCCAGATTGATGACGATTTTAACCTTGTGTCCTTTGTTCAACAACTTGAGTAAATTCTTTGTCTTTGTTCGCAAGTCATGGTCACCAATTTTCGCAGAAATGTAGAATAATTTAATGCCCTTTGATTTTTGTGTATACTTGCTAGCATCTTCCTCTTCACTCTCTTCGAGGAAAGTGGTCGTCAGTTTATAGCTTGGTCGTTCCGTTTTGCTGTCAAAATCGCTGATCTTGACGAGGTTGAGGTTGCGACGTTTCGCCAGACGCTGGGCTTCTTCCAGCACAGTCACGGTGATCGAGTTGTCCGGTAATAGCAGTGTGATCTTCGGCACTGGTACCGTTTTCGGTCTTGGCTTTTTGGCAGCTGTGGCATCATCGACATTTTCGAGGATGGATTTCTTACTGAACGCTTGATGTCGGTACACTCGAAGATCATGCGTCACGCGACATTGACTAAAGTTTTCAATGAAATATACAGCCTTCCGTAGAACTGTTTGAACCCTGAAGAAAGCCATTGGCTCAACTGTTTGGCTGAATTAATTATAGGTTATGTTTATCTCCGGAGCACATAACCTTGTATAACCTATAAGTTTCCTGACATTCCATGCCACGCGATTAACCTCGCTACACCGGCGATCGCGGATAGTGATGTTATCACATACCATTTTATGGATGATGTTTCTATCATTGAATATTTATTTATCGAGACATTATTCGTTGGGAGATACACAATTTTGATGTACATTGAAATTTGTTGTGAGCTAATAACCAAGTTGCAAGTTCGATTAAGTAGATGTCCACTGGAAGAAAAAGTATTTTGAAAAAAACGCAGGCAAATTGAAATAGAAAAGTCTCCTGTTTTGTTTGGAAAATGGACGGTAATCTTTTACAAACTTTCCTGTTAATTACTTGCATCAAGATCCTCTTAATCCCTACTTAGTAAGTAACTTTTCTAAACAGAGAGAGATGTTGAGCTTATATATATTCAAATTTATTATATATTATTTATTAATATATTTTATAATAATATGCACATTCTGTATGTGTTATAATAATATGTATATTATGAATTTTTATAGTCATTCCACTGATTTTGAGGTACATCGAAATTGGCTGGCTATAACACATAGTCTACCTATCAAGGAATGGTATGTGAATGCACAATCTTCATGGACTCTTGATTATCCACCCTTGTTTGCGTGGTTTGAATATTGTCTTAGCCAGGTAGCAGTGTTTTTTGATCCAGAGATGGTCAAAGTAGAGAATTTGAATTATGTATCACCAGCTACTGTGTTCTTCCAACGAGGAACCGTCATATTTTCCGACCTGATATTTGCATATGGAGTTAGAGAGTAAATATATTTATGAAATTTTTAATAATATAATTAAACAAGTATTCTTGATGTGTATCTATGCATAAAAAACTAAAAAGTCATTCAATTAAAATATACAAAATATTCCATCATTATATTAAATTTTAATGTTGTGAATATAATCTTTGTAAAAAATTATTTTTTTAAAGAAAATTCTAGAAAATATATAAAAAACACAATTAATGAATCATTTTTTGAACAATCTGAGAAAATAAATAACAATTGTCTTTAATAGAATTTATAAAATATGACTTTAAGAAAATAATAAAAATATAATTTTTTTAATAGATAAATTTTGTACAAAAGAAAAGTTGGAAAATTTAGAAAATGTTGTACAATATCAAATTTAGTTAAATTTATGTGTTTTCTTTTGCAGAACGAGTAAAACATTTTGTAAGTCCCTGAACAATTGTGAAGTTTTTATATTTCTTTCATTATGCAACATAGGACTGCTGATAGTAGATCATATACATTTCCAGTATAATGGCTTCCTACTCGGTGTTTTATTAATATCAATGGCAAAAGTTTCAAAAACTGGTGAACAGGTAATCCTCTCTACAATATACTTTGAAATTCATCTTTTTACTTATATTAAAAAATAATGTGTTTTAGGTGTCAGTATTACAAGGTGCTATGTGGTTTGCCATTTTACTCAATTTAAAGCATCTTTATTTATATGTAGCACCGGCCTACATCGCCTGGTTATTAAAATCGTATTGTCTAAACAATGGTAATTTTTTTAAACGATTATTTGCACTTGCATCTATTGTGCTGAGCATCTTTATGGTATCTTTTGGTCCCTTCAAAACTCAATTACCGCAGGTAATATTTTTATAACTTATAATTTATATAAGATTAATGAAATTTTTTAAATATGTTTTATAATTGAATACTCTTTTTATCTTTATAGGTAATTTCTCGTCTGTTTCCATTTAAAAGAGGCTTAGTACATTCATACTGGGCTGCAAATAGTTGGACTTTCTATATTGGTGCAGAGAAGGTGTTGTCTGTGATATGGAAATATTTAGGATGGTTAAAAGATATTAAACCTGCAGTAATGACCGGTGGTCTGGTACAAGAACAAAGCTTCTTCGTATTACCCACCCCAACTCCTATTGTTACATTTGTTTTGACTTTTGTGACAATATTTGTAAGTTTATTTAAATTGCATAGTAGTTTAAACTCATCTTTCTGTATCAAATATTTTATACGTCATATATATTTTATGGATCTAATATCAATTTCTAATATTGTACTGATCTAAAAGTTCTTTCAAATTTTGGCTTTTTATTTTTATTGAAAAATTTGAAAAAACTTTTTGATCAACGTAATATTATATGTGGTATATATAATTAATATGTTTATATATAAATGTGAATTACATAATTTTACATTTATACATAATTGTTTCAGCCTGCATTATGGTGTCTACTCTGTAAAAAGTCCTATATGAATTCGAAATATTTTGTTAGATGCATTGTACTATGTGCTTTGAGTTCATTTATGTTCGGCTGGCATGTACATGAGAAAGCCATATTAACTGCAATTATCCCTTTGTGGTAAGTATAAAAAGTAATACTGAATGCGTATTATAAAATATCTATGTAAACTTGAGAGTTTACAATAATATATTTTAATTTTTAGTGTCCTCGCAGCAATAGACGCGGAAGATGCACGGATATTTATAATTTTAAGCAGTGCTGGTCATACTGCTCTCTTACCATTGCTATATCCTGAGAATTTATTTTTATTAAAATTACTATTGTCATTAACGTATATGATTTCATCGATATTAATCTTGTCTATTCAACATAACAGGCCTCTATTACGAGTATACGAATATCTATATATAACATTACTACCATTAGTTACAATTTATGAAGTGTTGTTGCATAAATTGCTATTTAGTCATAAAATGCCTTTTCTACCATTAGCATTTACTTCTATATACTGTGCAATTGGTGTAACTTATTGCTGGATATTGTATTACTATATGTATCTACAGAATAATCGCGCACAAATAATTGAAATTGCAGGAAACAAATCAAGATACCATAAATTAAAAGATACATAATCCTAAGAATTCCATGATTGTTAAAAATTTGTACAGATTTTTATAACTGAAAATGTCTGTAAATAATATAATTAAATTATAAAATACATGCATATAATTATAGACTAGAAAATATGCATTGTCCTATGATTATAATGTAAATTATCTATGTAAGTAGTTATTTAAATAATAAATTATTGTACTTACTAAACAGAATATTGGCGATTTTTTTATTCTTGACAAATATAAAAAATTCACTACTGATTGGAAGTCAACAAATCAGTCTGTGTCACAAATCAGTGTGCATTTCATTTTCACTTTTCACAAATTTATAAAATTATTACACTGCAATACACTATGTAAACATGCAAAAAAATGCATTTAAAATTTCCACAATTCTATAAAGCTTTACGATTTAAGAGTAATAAAAAGTAAAGTGTGCACATATATGCAAAATATATACGGAAATTTTTACTGTTTATAAAGAAAGTAATTTTATATTTTATTATTCCTTCATAAAAATGTAAATTGCAGGCAAGAATGTAATTGTTAAAAAAAGCGCTGTCCTCTTAGCATTTAATAATAAATATTGAATAATGTTAGTAATTTGTGTAATTACACAAATATAATAAATTGACTTACTACTTGTTGTACCCTAGCCAAATATGCCCTCAGCTGTATCTGAAAAAATTAATATATATTATAATTATTACAAATTATCATATTTTTTGCTTTGTGTCGATTATTATATAATAAGAACTTTGTTAAATACAAATTAGAAATGTGTATATTATCACAATTATAAATATATTTAAATAACGGATAAATAATTATATTCACCAGCTAGGATATTGGAATTTGCTGCAGATTCCGCCTTCGGTTGCTTCACATCAGTTTCATTGAAAAAATGATAATGCTGATGAATACTAAACACAGTCACACTTTTGTACATGCACTATTGAACAAAATAATAAACTTTCGTGAACATATATGATAAATAATATATTTCGGTACTCGCCCGTTACTTTAAACGACACTCCCGACCAAAATTAACACGCACTATACGTAGAATACACATTTAATAATACTGACGCGCGTTAGATCTAATGACAAGTGCACCGCGCGCTCTCGTAGCGTTTCGATTTCCGGAACCGGCACAATTTACAGTATGACGAAACTCTGTTAATTGAATACATACGATAAAAGTAATACATTCCAGCACTTTCCCGTTACATTAATCAACACTCCCGACAAAAATTCGCACTCGTTATACACTTTTAACGATTACGTACGCAATTAATCGCGGAACATATATACCTTCCAAACTTGATAGTATGAAATGTAATAACGGCCAAGAAAAGACGCGCGCAACATCAATTTGCAATGTTACCAATATGATAAATATCAAATATGATAAATTACTGCGAGCGCTTTCTTTCGGCCGCTATAACAATTACTTTGTACGTATTACCAATTCATTTCGGTATTGTATTATTGGTAATATTGCTAACAGACATTGCACACGCTCTCTCTTGACCGCCATTACAATTAAATATGACGTGTTGAGTGTCCGTTTGCAGAGCGCGAATTTACGCAATTAATCGCGTATTTTATTCGTCAAAAGTGCATAACAAGTGCAAATTTTTGTCTGGAGTGTTGATTAAAGTAACAGGCGAGTGCCGGAATATATTGTTTTTACTGCATGTGTTCGATCAATGCTGTTTCGTCGCACCTTGAATTGAAGCAATTCCGGGAATCGAGTTGAGCGCGCGATGTATTTGCCATGATGGTTAGATCTAACGCGTCAGTGTCATTATAAATGTGCATTCTATGTATAACATGTTAATAACGTGTTAATTTTTATCGGGAGTGTCGATTAAAGTAACGGGCAAGTGCCGAAACACATTATTTACCATGTGTGATTTTGTTCAGTAGTGCTTATAGACAATAATGCCCATTTTTACCAATGTAGATTAACTTTAATCTCGGTTCAACTTACTCTCCATCTTTTTCTAGTTCTAGCATATTCTAATTTTTGTAAGAATTAAAAAAAGAAGAGTGAGTTGAACCGAGATTAAAGTTAATCTACGTTGGTGGAATCGGGCATAAGTGTTGAATTCTTCGGTGTCGGATTCTTTGATAGAGCTAAAGTACTTAAAGCAATTATCAGCAGTATCTACAACGGTTAAATATACTACAATATTCTAGCTGGTAAATACAATGCAACTTTGATCTTTTTATTTATATACAATGAAAAAATATAAAATATATGATAATATATAAAATTGAAATATGTATTTATTTTTTCAGATACAGCTGAAGGCGTATTTAGCTAGGGTACAACGACGAGTGAGTCAATTTATATATTGTACATTGTGATTACACAAAATGGTATCATTAACTGTCTTTTTATTCGCCAATATTTACTACATAATTACTAAGGACAATACTTTAACAATTATATTATCATCTGCGATTTGTCTTTTTAGATATAAATAATAATATGCCAAATCGTTTTTTCTATTTTAATAATAAAAATTTTCAAGTGTTGCACAAGTTTTATATGCAATTTATTACTTTTAAATTGACATTTTTAATTATCTTGCTTTCTGTGTACTGCATGCTTGTTTTTTATGTAGTACGGCATGAAAAATTATGAAATTGAAAATCTACGATTTTCAAAAATAAAATGTACAAATTGAGATATTATTTGACAATTACGTAACTAATTGTCAATGTGATTTTTTGATATTTATCAGAATCTTGATTGAATAGAGCAAATTGCTTTATCTATAACATTACAGACTGCGAGTACAATTATTCATTATTTAAGAATATAATTTTGCTAGTGAACACATGCATGATTACAATTTTATGCATATTTGGGGGAATCAGATAATTATATGTTTAAAGTAAGAAATATTATAGTTACATCTAATGTACATTTTGTACATTAGATGTGAATTTCTCTGCACATATGCATCATGAAATCTTGCAAATTTGTGTGGATATTTTCAAACAATTTTAGAAAATAATATTAAAAATTTATATTTTTCTAATATAATCAAAGTTGGTATCCCTGCGTGAACAGCACACTGGCGACGTTTTGCGTGAATTACTTCCTCCACCACGCGTTTTCCCGCGGATTTTGTTACATTTGGGTTATGTTGGTGTCTGGATGTATTTACGGTGTGCTGCATTGTTAATCAATGTGACATTTGTTTAATTGTGAAAACTGTTTATTTTTTGGTCGGTGTTTTTTTGTAGTGTTTTTCTTTTTTGTATAGCAACATATTTGTGCAATCGGCTGTTTGTTGTTTGCACTATTCTATTTTGTCTAGGTTATGGTAGTAGTGTCTCATTGACAGATCTAATCATATCTGTCCGTAATAATTTTTGAAAAATGTTTTAAGAAGATATTGTGATATTTTTAAAATTACAAGGTACGTTTATGACAGTTTAATTATTAATTTGTGATTATATCTGCAATTATTTTTATGTTCCAATGTTCTCATACAAAAAACTAAATTGTGTAATGCTTTGTTTTAGAATTAAACAAATGAAAATCATGGATATTTCAATTGAAGATGATTGTGTAATCGAAACAGTCACACCTGTAAAGAAAAAGAAAATGAAACAAGGTAATTTAGTTTCTAGTTTAATTATCTAATAATATTAGTATATTATACAATTTATTATTATACTTATTAATATAATAGGTCACTACATAAATAATTATTCTCAATTATGATTATATTACTATATATTTTTTTTTATTTTGTGATTTTAGCACAGCTGCCATTTCACACATCAAGTTCCTCGAAATCACCAAATACAAATAATGTGCCTAACAAGAAGAAAAGAAAAATAGCTACATCTTTAGGAGAATATAAAAGTCCCAAAATATTAAAACTTGCGACAAAGGAGAATTCTGTGAAAAATGTTTCTGAAGATGAAAAAGAAGATGAAGAAACAAAACTTGATAGTAGCAGTGATAGTAATGAAATGATATTAGATGAAAAAAAGAAAGACTTAGAAAAAGATAATCAGCAAAATCACAAAAAGAATAAGAAAATTGATACTACATCTAGTAGGAAAGTCTCTCTAGATAAAAGTAGGAAACTGGATAAATCCCAACAAAAAACTGGTGCCTTAAAAAAGTTTTTCAAAAAAGCAGAGAAAGAAGCTAAAGGCAACACAAATCGTGACAATAGTTTATGTAAATCAAAAAGTAAACAAAAACAGCAAGATACATCTGTGCAAAATGAAAGAAATGAAATCTGTTTGAATAAAAATCCAAATAAACAATCTTCTAAATCTCAAGCAAATGAAAAATTAGATCCTGCCGATATTGCTGATAAAGATGCAAATTATTCTCATTGTCAAGAATTGGATTCTGATACTGCTATTTTATCTTCGGATAACGAAACTGCAAGTGAATTGGACAAAACGATATCAAGTAGAAACGAAGAAACAACTAGCAAATCTACTCCTACAACTCCTACAACTCCTACAACTCCTAAAAGTTCGAAAACTAGTAAAAATATGAAGGAAAAGATTAAAAAATTAACACCAAAACAATTAGAAAAGAGACAGGAAATAGCTAAGAGAAAGGAAGAGAAACTAAGATTAAAAGAGGTACATTATATTCAAATTTTTATATTTTCTGTTATTTTGCCATACCTTAGTGTACTTAATATTATTATTTATTTTGTACTTTATGTACTTAATATTATTAATTTTATTTTTTATTTTTCAGGAAAAAGAAAAACAACGAGAAGAGGAAAAAGCAAATCGGCAGAGAGAAAGAGAAAAGAAACAACGAGAAAAGGAAGAAAAAGAAAGAATAGAAAAAGAACAGAAAAAAAGAGAGAAAGAGTTAAAGGAGCATAAAAAACAAATGGAGATTGAGTAAGAAAATTTAATTATACTTTACCATTCTGTTGATTCTAATTATATATTTATTTGTTATACATTAAGAGTTATTTATTTCTAGACAAAAACAAAAAGAAAAGGAAGCAAAAGAGGAAGATCGGAGAAAACGAGAAGAAGAAAAGAGAAAGAAAGAAGAAGAAAAATTAGAAGCTGAACGCAAAAAGCAAAAGGCGGCGTCAAATTTTGCTAGCTTTTTTGTTTCTAAAAAACAGGAAGTTAAATCAGCCGAGGAAGAGAGTGTTGTTCAAGCGAAAAATTTTATGCCTTTCGAAATAAAGGCTGATATGAGAATTGCGCCAGTTTGTCGAAGAACATTGAGTGAACACGAAAAATTAATATTAGACGAGATATGCAACATAGACTCGAAAAAGTCTGAATTGTACCTTCAAGATATCAAAACTGGAAAAATCTTACCGCACACTTCTTCTAAAACGTGGCCACTTGAAGCAAAGGATAATGATATAATTTTACTAGGTAAAAATGATTTTTATAGTATAAATATTTTGCCGATCTGCTGAATATATATTCTAATAAATTCAATTGATGTATACAGACGAAGATAACGATGACAGTTCCAACATAATAACAGACACGCATAAATTGGAAAAACATCGACCAAAACTACTGCAGTTCTGTGAAAATCGTCGTCCTCCGTATTGGGGCACATGGCGGAAACAAAGTAATATTCTCAAATCCAGACGGCCATTTGTGAAAGACAAGGTAAACATTATCATATTAATCGGTATAAGAGTATTTTTGCAAACATTGGTCCTAGGCTGACTCAAAATATTATTTTAAAACGTTAATTATTGACTGCTGCTTATAAAATAGCTATTTATCTACAGCAAAGCTGATTTTGATGATAACAGTTTGATAATTATGATCGCATAAAAACTGCTAGCTTTTATGAAAAATAATTTGAAGGATACAACTTAAGATGAAAAATAAGACACATGCATTCTTTTTGTACAGTTTATTATCGCTATATAATGCTATTAAAAAGTTCTTATCGAATTATCTTCAACTCTCACTAATAGGGATGTATTAATATCGTATCAATCTTAGTTTTAATTAATTAATCTCTTTGAATTGAACTTCCTAATTTGTGCTGATTTTGTTTTCTTGCAAGCAAATACAACGATACACACTACATTAAAGATTTACATAATAAATCTTTTGATTGTTGTAAAAACGTTCATGTGACGATTTCATGAAGAAAGTTATAATACATCTGTGCTTCCTAAGTATACCTTTTTTTATAGTTATGCACGATTCATTTTGCTACTCATGTTTTATTGGTTTCATCAATAAGATGAAATATTGAATTTTGTCTTTTATCTTTTTTGAAACCGCAAAAATTAACGTATTAGCCGCCGAAAGCATGAAGAATCATTGGTTTACACAACTTATTCAACAAACTATCTCTACGTTAACAATCTTTATAGAAATTTTATAGTTTAAGTACTTTATTTGTCAATTTATATAGAAATCTATATCATAGGATTTCGGTCACATCACTTTATATTGTCGGTGAGATATTTTGATTCCTTTGATTGGAGGAGAAAGTTCTAAGATACTTAAAATACTAGCATTCCGATGATAAAACATTTATCTTGTTGCCACGTAGTCCCTTAGCTCCTTGGAATAACGGACACGAATTTTTTCGGTGCACCTTACGATGCTTAGCCAGGTGATCGCTACGCGCGAATCTTTTCGAGCACATCTCACAGGAGTACGGTTTAATGCCCGAGTGCGATCTTCGGTGTCTCGCCAGTTCGTCCGATCTACTGAAACGCCATCCACAATCGGGCCAGTCGCACGCAAATGGTTTCTCACCAGTGTGTCTTCGTAAATGAGCCTTTAAATGAGACGCTTTGGCGTAGACCTAAAAAAAAATGTATCTTGTAGGATGTTCTCTGAAATATTTTAAATAGCAATACGATACTGACTTTTTTTTTAAATTAAAAGCTAGTTTTTCTCTTAAGTTGGGGAATAATTATATAAAAATTAAATCACAATTTTTTAAAATTTCTTACAAGATTAATAATACTAGTATTGACTCAGCATGAAAGAGAGAGAGAGAGAGAGAGAGAGAAATAGCTAAGAGAAAAATAAGTATCATAAAATATACCTTTACACATCCTTGATATGTACACGGGAAGCATCGATCTTCAGCCGCGTTTGCTAAACTGCGATTGGTGTAATCGTGCGTTGCTAATGCTGCTGCTGACGAAATTAGAAGATCGTCATCTAACTGGTTGTTGTTATAATCTGCAATCAAGATATATAGTAATTGATTTTAACTCATAATTGTTGAAACAATGATGGGATTTAAATGTTTATCTGGTCTTCAGAGAATATTAATATTATATGTCCGACATTAATAATTTCTTATTGAAAAATCTCGAGTAGATTGTTTTCTTTGTTTTGCACGTGGGTTAATAGCAATGTTTCAGCCAAGAAAAAGTTTCTTTGTAAGGTAGACATATTTCACACCTATCGTATTTGTTTCTACTGTATTCTCCAATGCTCGTAAATCAATTCCAAGAACTAACAACGGTTCATCGTATTGTGAAATCTGTTGTTGATTCGGTACAGGCGGCAAATGCAGAAATCCTTCGCATCCAGCGGTGCACAGTGGTGTTCTTTTCGGAAGACCAGAATCCAAGCTATTCTCCAGACACCAGTTCCAGTCTAACTCCGAGTCTAATTCGCTCAGTTCACTCGAACAACCTGTAATTATTGTTTTATGCATCTGTAGTTATGGGCAAGCAGGAATATGGATTTCTATGTGTGTTCCGACGTGTTAATTTTTGAATGACTCTAATAATAGATAATTTTTTTCATAGCAACAGCGGATAAATTATATTTATATGTGTAAAAAGCTGTACATACCTGTATTATTTATAGTCGACCAGTCGTTCCACGATGATTGCGAAGTACAAGATAAATCAGTGTAACAATCTGTCGAATTCGTCATGTTTAACTGATTATCGAATATTCCATATTCGCTGAATGGTATTGTACATGATGTGTCATAATAATCGCTAAGTAGATTTGTCTTGGTCGGAGAAAATAGTTGTTTTTCGACATTGCTATCTATCGTGCTTAAAGCAGAGAACAGTAATTCATCCGTCATCTGTAGACAAATATAAAGATATGTGCTTACGTTTAAAATCTTGTTTGAAACCTTCATAATTAGTATCGACAAATAAGTCATTACGTGACGTGAATATTTGACTCTTATATTTTAAACATATTTAACTTAATATAACAATTAACTTTTGCTGAATTAGTTATTTGAGAAATTACAATTCTCGTTGTTCTGTTCAAATTTTTTTAATCCACTTATATTTTTTAAGTAAATTATTCTATAAGTAGCATTTCTAATATTTTTGAATTTTATTATAATGTACAGTTTTTGAAATATGAATTTTAATTATTATTGCTATTATCAGTACTCACATTAATCGTAGCTTCTTCAATTATAATGTCAGAATTGAAACTAAGATTTGAGTCGATTTCACGCAGAAATGTACTTTTCGTGCGAATTGACGATCACGCACGATTATATGTTTCAAAATAATGGTCCCATGTGACGTTTACTGTGATATTTATGTCTCCATAGCTGCTCTCTGTATCGACGTGTTTCTCGATATCGTGACACAAGAATCTGTTTGTCGATAACTACATTACACGTGGATTCACGTGGAACTAAGAAAGCAGACTTCTTGCTGACGACTCGCGATATATTTAGATGATAAATCACTGAGTGGCGCTCGTATTAAATTGCAATCTTATACGAGTTTCTAGTTGTTTTTTTACGACGAGGTTTATAGGTGTTACAAAGAATTGCAAATATTAGAAGAATTCTTTCATATTCATTATATCATTGATTGCAATATTCTCTTCTTTATAAATAATTACAAATTGTTGCTCATTTAAAAATTTCTAGATTAGGAACAGATAAACCGACAATAAATGCGAATATGCAAAACGCTGCACCTTTGAAATCTCGCGCAATAACGACGTCGTGCGCGTTAGCGATGTCGCGGAAAAAGACACAATCGAACGCAGTGAGCTACGTGTCACGACCGATCGAGGGTCGTATCGGAACTGCAACTAGTGGTCGAATTCTCTAAGCGAGAGAAGACACGAAGTGTTTCGAGAGAGCACACGGCTCTCCCGAGATAAGGATGCTAGTCTGTACCACCCGGTGCCGTCACCATGTTAATCCCCAGGGACTTCGAGATCGCGCGCACGACCGGTCCAGAACACCGAGAGAGAACACCGGCACTGCCATCCTCAGCGGCGATTCGTCGTCAGTTTATTCTCTCTCGGTTTGCTAATCGGTAGAGATGGGATTAAGTGTCTCGCAAAAGTCGCGAATCTTCCGTTGTAAATAATTCGGTCAGTGGCAAAGCATTGCTCAATATGATATGATATGTTGTCCATTTTGGGTGATTTTTAGTCGAGATTAAATTATAATACTAAAACACAAGTAAAAAAGAACAGGACAGTTAAAAGCTGTCTCAGAAATAATCATTTTTCCCGAAAAGAACAGGTAACAGATATGAGAGTGTTTTACAAGAAACCTTGAGTAAAAATTTGATTAGATAATTTCAACTTCAATACGACATAAAGTTCAGAAAAGAATGCTAGAGTCAGTATCTTCATCACGGTAACTTTACTGCATAATTATATGAGTTTACTATTATTATTATAATAGTAAAATAAATAATAGTATAAATTTTCAATAATATAGTACTTTTTTTCAAAATTTGAATATTACTTATTCGATTCCTTCCAATATCGAAGTACATTTAAGTACACTTTCAAATCTTGTATTCTTATTTATTTTGGGGTTTAAAAATCGTAGAATTTTTTACAAAAAATAAGTAGCAATTTTCGCGTGTAGTACTAGAATTCTGTGAAAGTTGGTTGTTGAAATTGGTTCAGATTCATGATCGATACATATTGAATTTGATCCCATCCCTACTGATCGGGCAATTAGTCCGTTTATTTACGATCCCCCGGGCAGCGCGCCGATAATCGCGATGCTTCGCACGCCGGCTATCATTCGCCGTTGAACGATTTCGCCGGACGAAATCGCGTTTCGGGAGAGAAAGAGAAAGAGAGTGAGAGAACACCCGTTCCCCTTGTCTTCGGGGATGTCTCGAGGATGTCGTCGCGCTGTCGCGCACGTGGCTCGGACGCCAGATATATTGGCGATTCCGATTCGTGATGTAATCCGAGTAGCGGGCTGCTGGATCCACTTCAATCGATCGAACATATATGCGCGGAAAAATTATCACGAAATATTGGACTCTGGGAATTGTAGAGGAAATTTTCAAGCGACTTCGTCGGATGATAAACTATCACTGTAAAAAATTACAAAAATATTTTACGGAGGATCGCAAATCTCCGAACAATTGTGATTATTTTGTGTGTGAATTTTCAAGTATATGTTGCCACATATGCGTTATTTACGAAATACATCGTTACATGATGAGCGTAACGAGAGTTCGAATTTATATCGGTTGTTTTTCAATTGCGAAAATGTATTGACCGCGAGCCGTTGACCCAAAACGCAATCTTTCCGAATTACTCTATTGCCAAGAAGGAGAAAGGAGCGAATCGTCCGAGTAACACACGTTAATTTTATATACATCGCGTTTCGCGATGGCTTTGACCTGAAGCGCGGGCCTCGATAAAGGTGTCTCATTCGAGCCACCGCCGTAATTCGATTGCTCGTTTATCGGTGTGAGTTTGACCTCAGATAGTTGCACAGTATAGTATACAGCTGGACGTATTGCTGTTCAATTGAAGATTCGAGCTTGACTTGTGACTGTTTAGCAAATAACATTTAGGTGAGATTAATCCGATAACTGATTGTGTCGAACATCTTTGAAGACTTTATTTATTTCTTGCTGTTTTAATTCATTTTGGATCGATTTCGATGCAACCTCATTGTTTGTCATAATAAAAAAAAGAAGTATAGAAAGTAAATGCAATGACACATCTCTTACAACAATAAGGTGCAGAATCCGTGAAAATTTTTTTACAGTTGCTTTAGGAATATGCATAACTATGATTGTGTTTTATAAATTAATTATACTAGTCGACTCTAGCACGTGGAAAAGAATGTAAAAATTAATTCATGTTCGTGAACCTAGCATATCATTTTCCAGCAGATCAAAAATAAAAGAGAGTTCTTGTCGCATGCAGTCGAGTTCTATAGTTCCTTATAGTTTTTAGTAATAGTTCTGGTGATTTTATCCAAAAAAACACCAATCGAAAAAATGATCTGCTAACTTCCCGTAGCAGATCATTTTCAGCAGATACAAAAATAAAAGAGAGTTCTTGTCGCATGCAGTCGAGTTCTATAGTTCCTGATAGTTTTTAATGATAGTTCTGGTGATTTTATAAAAAAACAACCGAATCGAAAAAAATGATCTGCTACGGAAAGTTAGCAGATAAAAAATAGAGGACACTGAACATATATGTGATATGCTGGCCGTATATTAATAGTTCTGTTAATAATTAAAGAGTTTTCGTGTAGTTCTGGGCAAGTACATTGCTTTTCCAAAGAGTTCTGACGACTAAAATAATTAGAAAATTTTTTAAACAATTAATTTACCCGAAAAACGCGCATTTTTGAGTATATGTGTGATATGCTGACCGCATATTGCGTAATAACTGTTAATAATTAAAGAGTTTTCGTGTAGTTCTGGGCAAGTACATTGCTTTTCCAAAGAGTTCTGACGACTAAAATAATTAGAAAATTTTTTAAACAATTAATTTACCCGAAAAACGCGCATTTTTGAGCATATGTGTGATATGCTGGCCGTATATTGATAGTTCTGCTAAAAATTAGACAGTTCTCTTCTAGTTCTGGGCGAGTACATTGCTTTTCCAAAGAGTTCTGACGACTAAAATAATTAGAAAATTTTTTATATAATTTTATATAATTTTATATAATTATATAATTTTATATAATTATATAATTTTATATAATAAATTATTGAAAAATAATTACTGTTATACAAATAATTTTTCATATCCTTGAAGTTTTTCTTCGTACGCCGAGTATATTCACAATCATATAGTAGAGTTCATAAAAGTTGTTAACAATTATTTAAATATTAGAAACCAGAACTTTTCTGAAATGTATAGAAGTATTAAATATATAGTTCGAAAAAACCCCCAATATACAATAACGTATCACAATTACATAAGCGAAAAGATGATAAAAATTGTTAACAATTATTTTTATTACTATTGATGGATATTGTTATTGAGAACTTTCCAATATCAACTAGAGCCTCGATACTTATACGTTCAACAACTTGGCGATATAATTTGTTACTAAATATAATTAATTTACCATAAAATTTATTAGAATAAAAGTAATTGTTTAAAAAATTTTCTAATTATTTTAGTCGTCAGAACTCTTTGGAAAGGCAATGTACTTGCCCAGAACTACACGAAAACTCTTTAATTATTAACAGAACTATCAATATACGGCCAGCATATCACACATATACTCAAAAATGCGTGTTTTTACGGGTAAAATAATTGTTTAAAAAATTTTCTAATTATTTTAGTCGTCAGAACTTTTTGGAAAAGCAATGTACTTGCCCAGAACTACACGAAAACTCTTTAATTATCAACAGAACTATCAATATACGGCCAGCATATCACATATATGTTCAGTGTCCTCTATT